TTTTGACTAGTAAGATTCAAACTATTTTTGCCATTCATGTGTATGGGGTTTGTCATTATAGATATCTACAATTACATTATGACTATCTATAATTCCAGTTTGAGATATCTACAACGTCATTTTGACTATCTGAAACTCAATTCAAGATATCTAGAAAGGACCATGTAGATATCTTCAATTGATGATAATTAAAGATATCTTGAACTTGAATTATGACTAGTCAAAATTAAATTGTAGATATCTCAAACTGGAATTACAGATATCCACAATAACAATTGCAGATATCTATAATGACAAACCCCATACACATGAATGGCAAAAATAGTTTGAATCTTACTAGTCAAAACTGAATTACAGATATCTGTAATTAGAGTTTTGACTAGTCAAAATCTAATTACAGATATCTTGAATAAGATTTTTGACTAGTCAAAATCTAATTACAGATATCTTGAATAAGATTTTTGACTAGGCAAAATTATGTTGCAGATATCACTAATGAATATCCAGTCTAGCGATTAAATGTTAAAACGGCTTGCCATAGACCCTCACAATGGATAAGGAAAAACTCCCCAAAAAACCCTTTAACGGGGGAAAAAAACGGTAGAAACCTCAGGAAGAGCAACTGAGGAGCGATCCCTCCCGAGGACGCGCTCAGGCAGTCGATGCGGCGTCTATGTATATATGTCTATGGTCTCAGTGAGCCGACGCCGCCATCTTGTGTCGGGACACAGTGATGTTACAGTGGGAGGAGACCGGAGCTCCTCACGGAGAGACTGAACTTAAGACGGTGAATTGAATCTCAGTTTGTCGGTCACCCTGCTGTGGAAGAGTTTGACTCACACAGAATCAGTCACAGTTCTGTTTTCATACCCTGAGGCCAGTTTAACACCAGGAGATAAAGCAACTGACAAGACGACAAACCTGAAGACAACTGCTCAGAGGTCAGTTCACTCTGCTCGGAGGTCAGTAAACACCAGATTTAACCCATAATTATACCAGAAGGGGGGAAAAAAGTAAATTATGAGTATTAGGGTGACCAGACGCCCCCGTTTGGGGACAGTCCCCTTTATGGTGACCTGTCCCCCGTTACCTGCAGGGCTGCCAGCTGTCACACGTTGACTGTGAGACTCCTGTAATAAGTAATACTTTGAACATGTCTCACGCCACACATCCATCTTCTCACGCAGAGAAAAAACTATATTTTAACCGATAATCAGGCCCAACTGCACAGACAATGTTTAGAGGCAGTACAGACTGATTATCACACTAACTTTGTATTTGTTTCAATAAGTTATTAATAACGCATCATGTTTTAAACATCCATCCAGTCAGTCCTCAGTATCAGCAGCTGACAGGACTTAATCTGCACAGACCAGCATTTGTTTTGACCCCCACAAGTTGGTGGTTAGCTGCTGCTGTCTGTGCACAAGAGGACAGGTACCAGGTGCGCCCTGCCAAGTGTGGTGCCACTCACCGGCCACTTTATGAGGTACACCTTGCTAGTACCTTGTTAGACCCCCTTTTTAATTCTTGGTGTCATAGATTCAACAAGGTGCTGGAAACATGCAGATTTGTCAGCTGCAGATCCATGATGAGAATCTCCCGTTCCAGCACATCCCAAAGGTGCTCTATTGGACTGAGATCTGGTGACTGTGGAGGCCATTGGAGTACAGTGAACTCATTGTCATGTTTGAGATGATGTGAGCTTTGTGACATGGTGCGTTATCCTGCTGGAAGTAGCCATCAGAAGATGGGTACACTGTGGTCATAAAGGGATGGACACGCTCAGCAACAATACTCAGGTAGGCTGTGGTGTTTAAACCATGCTCAGTTGGTACTAAGAAAATCTCCCCCACACCATTACACCAGCAGCAGCAGCCTGAAGCGTTGATACAAGGCAGGATGGATCCATGCTTCCATCTGAATGTGGTTTTTCCAATCTTCTATTGTCCAGTTTTGGTGAGAAAACCCGTGTGAATTGTAGCCTCAGTTTCCTGTTGTTAGCTGACAGGAGTGGCACCTGGTGTGGTCTTCTGCTGCTGTAGCCCATCTGCTTCAAGGTTGGACAAGGTGTTGTTGCTTCAGAGATGCTCTTCTGCACACCTTGGTTGGAACCAGTGCTTATTTGACTTCCTGTTGCCTTTCTATCATCTTGAACCAGTCTGGCCACAAGGCATTTTGGCTCACTGGATATTTGCTCTTTTGGGACCATCCTCTGTAAACCCTAGAGATGGTTGTGCTGAAAATCCCAGTAAACACTCCAACAACCATGCCATGTTCAGAGTCACTTAAATCACCTTTCTTCCTTTCTTCACCTTTCTCTTCTTCTGATGCTCTTAGTGCCCCAGGAATTAGTCCTAAAACTTGGATATGAGTTAGCATTTTTGCACTCCTGGTTCCCTCCACTCAAAGTCAGTGTTTTTTTTGAATGGGCTTTTAGTTAGATGCCTGAAATAAACTGTGCGTTCCAACATCCATACTATCATACTATATATATAGTATGCCAGAAAAAGATTTGTTATGTCCCAATGCAATGTATGTCAAATGCAGTATGCCAAAAGTACCAGGATGTTCTACTACATCCAGTCTGATTTTGCAGTCTGCAAGCCAGCATGCTTTTCTGGCTATTCTGACCCACAATCCTCTGCACAGCGGACGATACGTCGCATCGACTGAGCTGCGAACAGATGACGGCTGATTGACAGCTGTCAGAAGTCCCAGTGATGGATGACAGTGCATTCAAGTAACTGATGACCAATTGAATAATAATAATAGGAATATTGTTTAAGTGTACAAAATAAAGATAAATATGACAAACAATAGGACATAACTATAGAAATAACAGTGACAGTGAACTGCAGATGTAATTTTACTGTCACAAATATAATATGTTAGAATCCACAATCTGTGCAGTTATAACTTTTAAGTTAAACTGCATACATTGCAAAGTAACAACAGCTTTGAGTTAATCTCTGTCCCTGGTGAACTCAGTAAATGGTGTTTTTTTATCTCCAAGATAACAGATAGAAAAGTAAGAGGGTCAAAGTTCAGGGCATAATGATGTAAGTCATTAACATGTCCTCCTGATTGTGTACTGCATGAAACAATACTTTTCAAGGGCAGCTGTAGTACTTACTAAAGGTAAAAAGAAAAAGTATGCAATTCGGAACGACCCCAGAGTCCACCAGGAATGAATCCTAAAACTGGGAAATGAGTTTTAACCATGAGTCTTAAAAAAGGCGGTTGCTAACAAGTGACTAAATGAGACTACGGAATGTCATCACACCAAGCAGCGCCAAACACGACTTGAAAGTCTTGTTATGGTGGTGATGTTACGCCATGTGACTGTAGTGTAGTTTGTTTAGAGCCTAACATTATTTTTTTTACTTTTGGCGATTGCGTCCAGACTTCAGTTATCACGGGAGTGGTGTTCATTTGTAAAAATTATCTTGCTGAACAAAACCTGTAAGTACCATAAATGATTGTTTGCCACAGAGCTTATAATCTTCAGTAATTCTAAATCCAGTGAAAAAAAAAAAAACATCGGCTTTTTGACAAGGGAACCAGGGTGAAGCTAAGGTCCATGTTGGCCTACAGAAAAACGTCATCCCTGGTGGACTCTATAAGGTCTGTGGTTAACACAAGCTTAAATGACTTTCACCTTGTGTTCTAAGACATAAAATCGTTAACTTTTTACTTCTGTTGATTGGACTTAGGCTTCAAAAATCCTAAAAATTGTGTTTGTGAAGATTATCTCACCGATCAATACGTTCTTTTTGACGAGGGAACCAGTGCGATGCTGATTTTCATGTTGGCCTACAGAAAAATGTCATCTCTGAAGTACTCTATGGACCGAACAACTAATCAGTTAATCGAGAATAATCAACAGATCAATCAACAATGAAAATAAGTGTTATGCAGCCCTATCATAGAGTAAACTACAGAACAACGTATAATTTAGTAATAATTTGCTCCACATTAACCATCTGTAATATTAAAATATTGTGTAATAATGTGTCAGGGCATCAGAAATAATATTTCAATTATGTGACACAACTATGATAAAACAGGGCAACTCTGCCAAATAGAATTTTTACTCTTGATAGGGGATGGGTGATTGATCCAGTGGGAATTGGAACTGATTCCTTGAAAGAATATATAGATAAAGTTACAAAATATGGGTGGATGAATCACTTCCAAACTTTTTAGGACATTTAATGAAGTGCCAAAATGTGTTATATCATAATGTAACCGTAGCTCTGTCAGCACAGGCGGAGCCCCCTCCTGGATTCTATGGGTAACACTGTCCTCCAATAGTGAGCAAACATACAGCCACTGAAATGTGCCTAAACATACCAAGCCTATCAGGATCTGCTTACCTGAATACGTGCAGACCTCATAATCATGCAGCACACGCCACTGTCTGCTATCCTACACCCAATTCAGCAAGCAACATAGGAGTGACAGGATCACTAGGTAGAGTGCTCCGCCTGTGCTGATAGAACCAGGGTTAAATTTCCTTCTGTATTTCAAGCAGGCTCTGCCCCCTGCTGGACTTTATGGGTACTATGGTTGGAGCCCAATGAAGGAACGCCCTGTCACGGCATAAACACGTGACCCAACCACACTGATCCTGAGCGGATAAAGGTTAGTGGCCGCAGCCCTTCTACTGCTTTGTAATCTAGGCCACTGCAGCAGAGAAGTCAGGGGCCCAGCCAACTCAGGTAGTCTGAAACTGAACCGGATGGTGCTATGGCCTAAGCTTTCAGGGGTCGAAAGACAGTACCCTGCGTACCACATTCTCTGGGTGATCAAGGAGCACGGTAACGTGCAGGTGTATCATGCCCAGAGGGGAGTCAGGTGCAACACAACTGACACACACCCAACACATTCTACAAGTCCTGCAGTGCTCAGCAAGCACAGACCCTATAAAAGGGGCCCAACTTGTCCAAGAGAAAGAATCAAATAAACAGACAGGGCATAGATCACAACACTGACGTATATGTCCTTGATACTAAGCCGGGCCTGCTGAACAAGGCCATAGACATTGTCACACTGCATGTAGAGTGTGTGGACCACAGTGGAAGGGGCCCTGCCTGGCTACCCATAGGCTTGGGAGATGCCCTTACAAAGCCATCCAGTAAGGTGTTTCTTGGATCGGGCCTTACCAGCCACACCATCCCTGAAGCACATGAACACCTGCTCAGTGTGTCTGATGGTGGCAGTGCGTTCAACATAGCATGCATACGCACAAGCTGGGCAAAGCAAACTGTAAAACTCTTGGCTTAAAGAACTCAATAAGTTCTTGGTAACAAAGGAGGGATTTGGTCTGACAGTAGCCCCGCTGTGGTCACCAGGAAGCTGCGAGCAACTGGGGTGTGCCGGAAGTGCAGTTAGTTCACACTAGGCTTGGGCGGTATTACAGTATAACAGGGTATTTTGAAATTCTGACGGTATGATTTTCAATTCCGTTAAAAATACAGATGCTCATCTTTCTATCAACCTCATACTCGAGAGGCTGTACTGAGGATGTAAGTGGTGGGGATAACATTGTAGAACTGTACCTGAATAAACCTCCAACAGCAGAGAGAGACTGCAGGGGAAAACAACATATTTTAACAACAAACTCCGTGATTTAAGGGTTTATTTCGACCAAATCAGAGTTGGTGATTGTTAGAATATTGGACTAACCAACAAAGCAACTAACAAGACAGTTTGAGTGAGTTTTATTTTGTTTCTGTTGAGTAAGAATGAAGTTTGTTATACAATGAATAAACAAGGCAATTAAGGTAATCGTAGTTCGGTAAAGGAGAGAAACAGGCTTGGGCGGTATTGCAGTATTACGGCATCAGGGTATGATTTTCAACACCATCAAAAGTATGGGCACTCTTCTTTCAGTTAAACTCATTGTTATGTAGTGCACAACACGCACCACCAGAGGTCAGTCTCCACTCTCTACTGATGGAACAGACAAATGATGGCGGTGTGGATAACCTTACAGGACTGTAAATAGCCGTCCAGCAGCAAAAGAGAGAGAGACCACAGAGAAAAACAGCACATTTTAGTATATAACTCTGAGAATTACTTTTTTAAAATTTATTTATTTAATTTTTTTTTTACCAAGTCAGGGTTGGTGATTGTTGGAACAATGGACTTATTAACAAAATGACTGACAAGACTAACCAAGATGGGTTTGGTTGTTTTTTTTTTTGGTTTTGTCAGGTTTGAATGAAGTGTGTTTTACGGTGACTTCATGAGGCAGTTGAACTAGTCGTAGTTCAGTGAGAGAGAAACTAAACTGAAAAGGTGTACAGTTGTATTTCTGTGTTTAAAAAGGAAAAAACTGTCCAAATATCCCTTTCTTGACATTTTGTTAGTTTTTATTGTGTATGACTATAAAAGCTCTGAGAGTTGGGGGGGGCAGTGAGGGGGAGATGGTAGCGCGACACACTGACACCGGCATTTTCTAGTAGAATCAGAACCAATAAGCAACTGAAGGTCAGCAATGTCTTAAGCCCAGTTTAGACCGAAGATTCACTACGAGATGAGTTGAAACATTCAATTACTTGCAATGTGCTGCAACGTTCTAATAATCAGCTGGTTCACACCAAATTACCACGATGAGACGGTGTATCATCTCTAGTCAACAACTCTCTGTACTTCCGTTCTGATTTGCAGCTTTTCAGACTTATTTTGTGGCTGAATATAATTTGTAGCTTCTTAAAATCTGAATGAGGATAGTGATAGTGAGATACTGGCTACAGTGATGAAACAAAACCAGCTTCAGATGGACTGTATTCATAGTCAATACGTCACAATAATATAAATAACGAGCGCCAATTCATCAGTCAATGAGAATGTGTGTGTGGGCGGGGCATAAGCACATACAGCTATCAGCAGCAGCAGCAGTGACCCACCGTCTGACACCGGCACACCGTGAGTACAGAAACAGAGGGCTCGGCGAGGATGGAACACCATTTTGATTCGACTAGCAGACTTCACTACAAGCTGATTGGCTGTTGACACAGGTGACGTGCCTTACGTTCTCAAACCAGCTGCCAGCAGTTTGACCAGCTGAGTTGGAGGCGACACCATCAGCCTTCTTGAGTCAAGATGGCCAGTTCACACCGCTGCAACTTTTCTCTGCAACGTTCTAAAACGGTTTTGTCTCATCGCAAATTGTTGGTCTGAACTGGGCTCTAAGGGCAATGCATGTGTTTAGGATGCAGGGCTCCAAAACGGGCCTGAACTCTCCCATCTTCTTAGGAACCAGGATGTTTGCAGAGTAAACCTCTCCTGTCTGTCATTAGTGGGGAAGATTGGCACAGCCTGTTTTTCTGCCAAAAGGTAATCTATCTCTTCTCAGAAGGACAGATTCACCTCCTTGATGCCCATGAATGGGGGAGGAATGTAGAAGAATTGGAGAGAACAGTCCAGTCCATCTGTTCTGTTATTGCAAAGTTGTCTGACAGTTTTGGTTTCACTGTATGTCATATGTGACTCTGGTTATTTTATCTGCCTGCTCCTTTAAGGATGGACATAAAACAGTGTTGTGTGAAGCTTTCAGTCCAGCCATCCAGGGGGCTTGTGGATGAAGAGTTTACCGTCCTGGTCCAGAACCTCTTTCCTGGTTTCCAGCTGACAGTCCGTGCCCTTCACCAGTGTGAAGACGGACACACCTGGGATGCATTCGCTCACTACATCGCCAACGCTACTGGGGAAGTGAACGGTAAGACTTAGAAAATATAAGAAAAATAATGTTAGAAATGTTTGCAGGTATCATAAAGTTTGAGAATTGAAGAAAACACAGTTTGTTATAAAATTGTGGAATTGTTTGGAGAGAAACAAGAAGGACTTTTCCCTGCTTTTTATTTTACAGTTTCAGAGGATCTCAGTCTGGGCGGGACATATTCTGGGATTGAACCCATGGGTCTACTGTGGAGCCTCAGACCAGTTCCTGGCAGCAAACCTTGGCTCAGGTAGGCCAACAAGAGTAGAGCCGTTCAGATGATTCCAATCAACAATTATCAGTTTCAGATTCAACTCTCTCCCATCATCCCTCAGGCTGAGGAAGATGAATGTCCAGACTCCCATGGAGGTCACTATCTCAGTGTACGAAGGTCACCAGACTGAAGGCTTCATGGACCAGGTGCCTCTGGCCAGTGTCGTGGTGGAGCGTTGGTACATGGCGCCCGGCGTCCGTAGGATCCCCATTACAGAGGATGGACTCACTGCGACCCTCTTCCTGCCCCCAGGTAGGACCAGAGGAGAGTCTGGAGGGAGGTGTCCTGTGGGTGGAGCTCATGTGTGCCATTCATGTGACATGGACGGCCAATAACCATGGAAGTTAACCAAGATCAAATGTTTCTATCAGATGTGATCCCAGAGATCATCAGAAATATACAGTATCATTGTCGTGTAAACTGTAAACTGTTTTTTTTGTTTTGACACATCTGAAGGACCGGGACCTTTCCCCGGCCTCCTGGACCTCTGGGGGGGTGGAGGTAATTTGGTGGAGTACCGGGCAGCGCTGCTGGCCTCCCATGGCATCGCCTCCCTGGCCCTCGACTACCTGACACCTAAAGTCACCATAGAAACTGGGAAGATGGTGGGCAACGAGTACTTTGAGGTAAAGTTGATGGTCATATAAATGACAAAAATTGAATTAACATTCATTCAGAACAAAATAATTCAAGGATTTTGTAAGAACTCTTGATATTATGGCCAAACTATACTATCATATTATGAAGAAGCTGTAGTTGCCGAAGCAAAGTTGAAGTTTTTACAAGCTTTCCCAATCATCGAGGTCCAGTTTTTCATCTGTCAACAATTTCAGCAACAGTTTCTGAACCATAATGTATATCTTCTGATCCAAGGACCTCAAAGAAAAAAAAATTACACAATGTGAAAAACAAAATCAACTACATTAACAGCTGTGGCCTGGCAGAGACCAGGCCTTCACTTAGCACCCTTTAGCAACTTGAGTTGCTACAGCAGCCAAGTACCAAGCTGCCATCCGCTTTCCTCCTGAAAAGTGGGGGAAAGAGGTAGAGGGTCCACGGGCTGCACTAGCCAACTAATTCAAAAATATGAACAGTAAATCCAACAATCCGTTGCCCCATACCATAATTCCAGTGCTCCCCAACGCTGAAAAAAGTCCAAACGACAAAGGAAAAAACACAGCATATTAGAAATATTGTGATTTTGTGGTTTTAGCTGACTAATGTTAGTTAACATTAGATTGCCTGCTAATGCCGAATAATGAGTAGCCAGCTAATGTGGCGAAATACTGTCTTGAGTGATTAACGTCATCAGATCCATCCAGACTCCAGGGGCTGATCTGGCTGGTAAATTGGCTAGCTTGCTGTTTGCACATAACTTTATCAGCTAACGTTTCAAAACAACCAATGCCAGATCCAGGCAACCTAACTTAGCACAGGTGGCTGGTAACCTTAGCTTGCTTGCTTGCGAACATCATTGCAAGCAAAATACTGTCTGAGTGGATATTTCAGTTTGCGGGGCTTGAAAACTTTTTTCTGTTTACATGCGCTGGTGCATGCAACTTTTAAAATTACATGCACCAAGTGTTTTTTTACTACACCTTTTGGTGTATTTTTCCTTCTTAATCTGCAATTCTGCCACAGCTGCTGTCGGCTCCAACCAAAATAACAATAATGTACAGTGCAAATTTTATATGGTCATAGGAACATTTTGAGGAGCTTCTCGGCAATATGGAAAAGTCTTTTTTTTTTAAACACATTAGAACTTCTTTAGTGGCTACTTTTCTGCTGTTTTATATGGATATTTATTAGGGCTGGGTATTGATACTTTCAGTTCAACATCAAATTTCACTTGTTGATGTACAGGTATGTTGTTGTTGTGTGCTTTAATTGTACTTTGCACAATGACTATTTCACTTCACTTTGTGATATTGAATGACAGTGGGCTGTGCACATAGTTTTTTGTCCCATATAATCATATAAATAAAGTCTTACTAAAAAAATAGAGTATCTGCCTTTAAAAAAATCAACTGTGTGTAACCTTAAATAATTAAATATACATTGAACTTTCAGTCCCACAATTCTTTGAAAAAACAATACAGAGGACATGCACTGATCACAAAGTGCAACCTGCTTCCTGGTAATCATTTATTTTGGGTGTGACACAGAGTAGCATTGTGTCAGGTTTATGCTGAGTTATGTGGGTTAAAGGTCTCTCCTGCAGTCACCAGCACGTGTGTCTGTAATCTGTGTGTTTGTCAGTAAAACCATAAAGAACTTATTCAGAAGTTCATTCATCTTAAACAAACCACAGACTGAACTTGAGATGAATTCAAGTTTTTAAAGACTTTTTGTTGATGTAACTTGATGTAAAATTATTTTTCTTAACACTATTCTTATTATTACAGTTCTACTTTACTAAATGTCAGGTTACTGTAATAATGTAGGGCAGGACCTGACCATCAAGCACTGATCAATGAAATCTTTAAATCAACCATTAACCTCAGCAGTGTGTTTTAATTATTACTGTTAACTAGGTTTGGCAGCAGCAGCAGCAGCAGCAGCAGCAGCAGCAGCAGCAGCAGGTTTGCTTGGCTGCAGGCAGGAGAGGTTTTTTACTTTGTCTCTAAACACAAAGAGCCACTGTTGTCCAGCTGTGTCAAGTAAAGTTGAGTTTATTCACTATTAATCAGTTCTGTAAATTTGCCTCAGAGAGATTTATAATCTGGACAATCTTTTATCCTTTAGAGTTGAGTTACTTTGCGGTTTTGCTGGTCTGTTTCAGTCTATGAGCTCAAACCGGTTTGATGTAATGCAAACAGCTGAACCAACATTCGTCACTACGACACTTTCTGGCAATTTAAAAAGTAGTCTACGTCAGCAACATGTGCTGATAGTGTCACAGCGCTAAATCCAAATTACATTGCATTAGTAACCAGCAATATGACGACGTGATGAACATAATATTATGTTTGTTTATAAACGCACTAACGGAGACAGCCGTGTCTGACAGGCTGAGAGTTGAGCCAGGCACCATGAAGGAGATCATGTTTCAGCTTAGATGGGAGGAGCAGAGCTGCACTTTGTGTGATTGTTTACGAGAACAATTCATGTGATTTTTGGGGTGATAAGAGGAGACATGGCAGAGTCAGTCTCTCAAGAAAACAAATACTGCACCGATATGCCAACATTTTGGATTTGAAGCTGATAAAAGAGCCGTCCTGATTGGCTGCAGGCGACTCAGTGCACCGCTTAGAGCTGAACGTTTGTCGGACAGCATGTTTTTATTTACCTGTTGATTCTTAAAATGAAATAAAGAATTATCTACATGGTACCTCCTTATTTCACTAAAACAAGCCTAGGTAGCAGCTGGCTTGAGGGAATTTGCCATGGAGCTGAAAGTGCCTGGTAAATGACCATTGGTAGTAACAAGCCAGGCTACTTGCTGTTGGCTGTACTGTATGTCATTTCTAGTCAATGTCACAATATAAAAAACATGTTTTCTGTTTAAAAACTAACTTTGCAAACATAGGAAGATAACAGGTAGGGTACTTACCCCTCTGTAAAGAGGTTATATGTCCAGTCTGATCTGGAGCACAGCTGATGGGATGGCCCAGTGTGGTTTGTTTACATTTACATTTGTTTACATGCATATTTAATGGCGTCAGTGTGGATATAGAGCCCTGATGTAATATGATGCAATGTAATAATAGTACAGAAGCTTGTTTGTTGTTAGGACACTGTGTCATTATGTGCTACTAGGGAGCATCTACTGAGTTACGTGTGTGAAATTTGGTATACTGGTCCGTTGTGAAAAATGTTACACCCACCCAACCCTTCCTTAGACCCTCGACTAAGATAAGGAAAAACTCCTCAAACAAAAGCCTTTAACAGGAAAACACAGAGGAAGACTTAAATAAGACAAAGATAACCTGACTGACAATTTCCTAAAACATGATTTCACATCAGTCGCCTGAAACTGAGAGGAAAGCTGAGAGTCAAAGATCAAATGTGTAGCCAAGTGAAAAAGATTTCAGGTTTGAGTTACTAAAGCTGATCAGAAGCTTTGTGACACTGAATATCAGATAGAGGGATGTAGACGGCAAGAAATGCAGAAAGAAATACAGAGCGTTATTCTCGACAATACTGAGGGCAGGTCTGATGACATGTATGTTAATGTAAAGTATGAAAATACCCCAAAAATCCAACTACAATCACAATTCTCTCAACAATGCCGACGACTGCAGAAGGCCTATAGAGTCCTGGAGCAGCATCCTCAGATCCTCGGCAGCAGGATCGCCATGTTGGGCCTTTCCCTCGGCACCAGTATCACCCTCAAAATGGCTGTTTACTCCAAAGTTATTAAGGTAAGACAGCTGTAGCTGAAAGTTATTACTTTTGGTATCATTGGATCTTTCTCATCCAATAAAATGAATTCTGATTTTGGTCTCAGCTGATCATGATTTACAGAGCAGTGCATGTGTGTGTGGTCTCTCAGCTCAGGTGTGCAGTATGTATCAGTGGGAGTCATGTGCAACAGGTTGATGGATCTCTACGACAAAATTTGAGTTACTTTGACAAGTAGGTTGATCTGCCATCAGTTTAAGATATTTGTTCACCTCCTCAGGATGAGCCTTTGATTTTTGACCCTTCAGATTTCTTAACCTGTCCTCTTCTTACACCACCCTCAGGACAAACTTTAAACCTCCTACTGTATGAAGACGTTTTCATTCTTTTTTTTTTTTTGTCATATCAGAAACTCTGCAAAGATTCGCTTTGACAAAGATAACAACGTGATCTTGCGGGATATGACACTGCCCATCACCACCAACCCCTCACTCAAAGTGGACGTGAGTATCACCAGACACTTGTTGTCAATAATAATGGTATTTTTGCCTTGATGTGACAGTAAAATATTTCCCAGCAAGAACTAAACCGTGAATACTGCAGCCACCACTGAACCACATAATTTCCTTCTTTTTATGTTTTCGGGTTGTCCATCCGTCTGTCTGTCTATCCCATGATTGTGAATGTGGTATCTTAAGGACTCATTTCTTCAAATTCAAACCTCATAAAACCATGCTAATTATGACAAAAATTTCACACACTAATATGATATAATGATGAAGTGAAGAAATTTTATATCCAAAAGGTCAGAGGTCATCTTTACTGTGACATCATAATGTTCTGCAAAAACACTGGCCGTTATTCAGCGTCATTAATCAGGATCAGAAGGGGAGACATTTGGTCAGATCCTGAATTGATGTGTGTGAAGCATCCATGTTCTCACAGACATGGATATAAACTGTAAGTGCAACTTGACCGGTTCGTGGAGGCCTATGACGTAAGGCAGTATTTTCAGTACCCAGCAAAACAGATGAACTATGGTTTCTTGTAGCCTCTCTGCAGAATTTAGATGATGCATGAATACTCAAAGCTGCAGCCACTGAAAAAAGCTGAAATGCTGCTGCTGTTGTCTCTGAGCAGGTGGGACGACTTCAGTGTCCTCTGCTGCTGGTTGTAGGTGAGGACGATCAGGACACGCCGGCCTACGAAGCTGCAATGGACGTGAGTTTATTGACATGACGACATCCTGTCTGAATAACAAGCTCAGTCCTGATGTTTAAAGTCACAGGATTAAACTCTACTGTTCGCTGAGAGGAAACATGGCGTATATGGTATATAATGGTATAATAATATAATATATACAAATATATTATATATATATAATTATATATATTATATTATAATATAGCCAAAATACAAATAAAGAGATAAAACACTAACAAAAATGAATCATATGAATAAATAACATATGTACATTAACCAACACTTTATGAAATACTTCATTAACATCTTAAACTAAACAGTTTCATTATTTTTATTAGCCTGACAGTGGTGCATCATGTACAAATAAAATAGAAGACGGCAAGATGGCAGTCATTTCAGTCATGGACCCAACCGCACACAAAGTAACTATAGTTCAGTAGACTCTTATACGCTTTCATCAACTCTCTGTGTAACTTAAGTAACATCAGCAGGTCTAATTGACGAGGTCATTTGTAATGATGATCATGTCCACACCAGGCAAATCAGTGAAGTTGTGGGAAGAATCACTTTCATACGGTTTGTATGGATCACATCCAACATGAGTTTCAAATTTCTGACAATACCTGCTGCCCGCAGGTTCGTCCAAAGCTTTTATGTAGTGGCTTTAACTTAAATAAAATCTAATTGAATTGACCTATGGCTAAACCCCGCCCTCAAATGCAATGGGCCAATCACAGTGCGTATAGCCATTCCCACACCAATCTCAGCCATTCTGAGATTTGAAGTTTAAAAATGGTCAAACGGTGTGCATGGGGTACATGCAACTCTGACACAAGGTATCCTGAGAGGCTGGGCGACCAGGTGTATTTTTTACACTTTAAACCACAGCTCAACCGAGAAAAGTGTCTCCTTTGGATAAAGTTGTGTGGTAAAGTTAGACCACAACATCAACTCAACGTGAATAAGATTAACAATGATGTCTACATCTGTTCTAAGGTAAGTCAACATTGTGTTTGAGGCAACATATTGTCACTTTGCTGGAAAGAAATATAAAGTTATCTTTAACATCTCTAGCTAACGTTAGCTAAAGTTAGCCTAACGTTAGCTCCTAGCTGCGTTGTTCATCATGTCACCTTGTTTGCTGGGAGTTCATTAGCCTATTTTGTTCTAGTTTTGTACTTTGGTGATCGTACATCATTGTTAGTTGTTGTCCAAAGGGCTCTAGTTAAGCTAACGTTAACTTCTGGAGCTTAGCTTCATTAACTTATCTGTAATGGCAGAGATAACAAAGGTTGGCAAATGTTATGCTGAATGATTCAGTGTAAATACTGTAGCACCAAACTAACGGAGAGACACTCTTGGTAAAGATGGTAAAAAGGCCGTTATCCTTTTCTCATATTCTGAGCCAAAAACCTTAACTTCAGTGGCACTTTAACTTGTTGTCTTTGATGGTGACGGCAACCAGATGCGGTTCACAAGCGTACACTGTGACCTGTAAATTTTGGCTTGTAATTTAAGCTTTTCATCGACCTTCTCAACAATAAAATGATGAATATATCCCTCCAATGCGTAGTTTAGGCCCTTTTGGTTACTTCTCAATGACATCTGATTGTTATGTCTCCAAAAATCATCAGTTGCCTCCTGTGAAATGCCGTGTACTGTGACACCTGCCATAGCGCCGCTCACTGAATGTTGATAGTTTGTCCGAGTGAGTGGAGGGGGCGTGGCTTAGCCATAGGTCAATTGAATTGAACTTTCCTCTTTGTTCATTTCATGCAGTATACAGATTTATGACTTTCTGCCCTCCCATCTGGATTTTTCGTATCATGATAGTCATGTGATTGCAAACAAGATATTGACCCTTCACTCAGGGTCAGTTAAGCCCCACCCACCTTGGTTACTGTCGTCAAGTTTGCACCAGCATGTCAATGTGACGTTCTCAGCGATATCCTTGAGACATATTCTAAAGGAGATAAAAACAAACATCTGGAATAATAGTTCTGAAATATCACAGGTAGACAGAAAAGATGACAGTGTGCATTTGAGAGCACGATATAATTTGTCGATGGATTATTGTGAAAGAAGACGACATTCATAGAGGGAAAGCTCACTGGTCCCAATGTTAGCGTCAGACACATCACGTCTTGATATCACATTGGAAGAACAAACATACAGGAACCACATGTTCTTGTCCAGCAGGGTCAGGTCAGTATAGATGAGATCAGACAGACTTTATTGTCCACCTCAGTGGAAATTTGTTTTTGGCTTCTTTCAAGTACAGCAAAGCTACATACAACACACACGACACAATACAGCATTAAAAACATACAAATATGTGAGAAATACGAGATGAGGTGTTTTATTTTGTGTTTTTTAGATGAGGGAGATGATGGAGCAGGCGGGGAATGGCCACCTGCTGACTGTCCTGTCCTACCCAAAAGCCGGTCACCTAATTGAACCTCCGTTCACACCGTTCATCCGAGCCAGCCCCATCCGATCACTCGGCACTGGTCAGAAGTGTAGGTTCACCTTCAGACTGGGAAGCTCTGTCTCTGAATCATCCAACACAACGGATCGTAGAGTTTTGACGTCAGTGTCTGTTTCCTGTTGTCTTCGCAGTTTTGGTTCTGTGGGGTGGAGAGACGGTGGCACATTCTCGTGCTCAGGAAGACGCCTGGAGGAAGACGCTGGTCTTTCTGAGGAAGAATCTGTACGGCTACACAAACCCTGGTGCAGCTATGCTATCACGGCTGTAACCACGGCAACAACTGTGGTTATAGAGTTGCTAAGCTACTTTGTGGCCCCCTGTTTCAGGAAGTAACAGTCCCATTGTTTTTACCTCATAGATAATGTTACGTGACTCACAGTTGACTACAGACATTTTCCTGATTGAATCATCAGAGCAAAAGATGAAATCACTCTCCGACTTTAACACTTAATCTGTCCTGTTAAATAAAAAAATGATTTTAAAAAAGTACAATATTTCTCTCTGATATGTGTCGAATTTTTAAGTAGGGAAAAATAGAAATTCTTAAGTAGATTACCTCAGAATTGTACTTAAAGGAAATGGCTACTAGAATGAAAATACAGACAGTACTTACTGACCCTCATGCCGACAAGAAGTCCAGTGTAGTTTTTTAATCCACAAAACTTGTCCGGGGTATCGGAGGATAACAGCTAGCCGGAATAACAGCTGATGCGAGTTGCCATGTAAACACAGCACTCCTGCAGGGCAGGCTAACTGACCACGGTGAGAAATGATGCGATAAAAGTGGAGTAAATTACGTCTTTTCAAGTCAATTTTGCATGCCGCGGCTTCAGGGCACTTGGATTACGACGGACGAGCCGTTCTGACGTTTTTGAAATGCATTAGCGGAGTTTTATTACATTTTCAAAATGTGGGTTCCATGCACTTCAAGTGTAGCTGTTATTCCAGCTAGCTGTTATCCTCTGATACCCCGATCGAGTTTTGTGGATTAAAAAACTACACTGGACTTCTTGTCGGCATGAGGGTCAGTAAGTACTTTCTGTATTTTCATTCTAAAGTGGCCATTTCCTTTAAGTACAGAACTTGAGTAAATGTGTAACTAAATATATTTTTATACCTTTTGAGTCGTAACCTCACCCAGTCTAGAAGAAGAACCAGAAGAATTACTTTATTAATAATTAATAATCCCATTTACACTTTACATCTGACCACGTCCAGCTGTGATGTCAAGTGTGGTCAGTTCGAGATACTTCTACCTTTCGATCTAAAGAGGTAAGTGCACCAATTCTTTTCCTCTGTAAAAGGTCCTCCTGTGGTTTTGGTTTTAAATCTGGAGTTGTGGTGACTTGATGGCACCATCTTCTGTCCACACAGAGATATGTTGTGCCGTGGGAGGAGACTGAAGCTCCAGACTGGGAGGCTTAACTTGTGATGGTTAAATAAATCCCAGCTGTTATTCGGTGTTTACTCCAAACCTGAAGAAGGAAGCTGTGAGATCTGCATCGGCCATCAATCTTCTTGTACAGTGAGTGTTTGAAATTAAAGCTGGGGGATGAAATTAAGAATTTCAATGGACTTTGAGTTAATATTTAGGCCTTTGTGCAGAGATTCCTGAATGTTTGAAGATGTTTTTTAATGTTTGTCTTTACATAAATGTCTACTCTGATATTGTAAAGGAGTTCAACTCAACTCAGTTTCTTTTAATATAGTACAGGATCACAAATAACAGACTTGCCTGAGAGAACTTTACAATCTGTAGAGTGTACGGCATCTTATCCTAACTCCAACTTGAAAGTGGAGAGTTAACTTAAGGACACAGTGGAGGAAGGGAATGAGTGAACAACCATACTGTGTGGTTATTAATTAATAAGCAAGGTGATACAGTTATACATTAGCAGATGTGGTTAATGCTTACCAGTGCTGTGTACAGACATTTTTGGGGCAGGTGCTCAAGCAGAAACAAAGGGGCATAATTATTCTCTCATAATTATTAATCAAAAAAGTTATATACAGTAACCCATTTTGCTTGGGGGTGGGGTTAAACCAAATTACTGCAAGGTATTAAATCATAAGATCATAGGATCATAGGATCAAATCCTGAGTGAACAATGTCTTTCGTCGTTTATTCATTAAATCTTGAAGCTATTGCCCAACTGCCCTATGCCCTGTCGATTCGGTGTCTGTCTCTGCTCCCACCAGGCAGTCGGTGAACCGGACTAAGAGAGTTCGACAGACATGGTGTGATTTTACACCAGACCAGTTTACTTGGTGTTAAGCTTAATGGTGGGTCATTGCCTAAATTAGACTGGCTGTATGAGATGTTTTAATAGTTAAATTTCATAACAGTTACAAACAATACCAAGGCTTAAGGCAAACACTGTTGTTACCTGGCTGTCCATGAAGACAGGTCATGGGGGGACGAGGATGCTGCTCTGCAGGGTGCTCTATTTAAGTGCGTTAACTGTGGTGACTGTGATCAGGGATGTTGATGAGGGAGGAGCAGGGGCTCTTGCGGTCTGGCTGAATTAAAACTCAAATGTGGTTGTCAGGCGTTACAACACACTTTTAATGGAGAATTGATGCTATGAGCCAAATTTAAAAACATTAGAAAAGACATGTCTTGCAAAAAAAGGGGCACTTATCTAGACAGAGGGCTAAAGGGCAGGTGCTTGATCACCACCTGGGGTCTATCTGTGCACGTGCTGGCCTTTGGGAACCATTCATATAGTCTGGTCAGTTCATACATCTGTCCAAAAAAACATTTTACCCTCACTCCTAACTCCTTCACTTGGGGCAGCAGGTGACTCTCGATTTATGTTTGTGCTCAGTTCAGGATGGACGTGAAACAGCATTGTGTGAGGCTGTCAGTAAAGCCATCCAGAGGACTCGTGGATGAGAAGTTCACCATCTTGGTCCAGAATGTTTTTCCTGGTTCCTACCTTACCATCCACGCCCTCCACCAGAGTGAGGAAGGACACAGCTGGGAGGCGTTCGCTCACTACACCGCTAACGCCACTGGGACTGTGAACGGTATGTAGTTCAATATCTAGTCTTGGAAAAAAAACAGATTATTGAATTAATTGATTGAGAGTTGATGAAAAAACTTTTTGTAATGTTTGTGCTGTAGCTTTGTCGGCATTCAAAAAAGCAATTTATAAGTGTTCCAAGAATGGTTATTTGAGTATTTACAGGCTTCTTTGTTTGAAATTTAAAAATTAAAAAATTAAAATTATGTAGCATAAAATGTCGATCTGAATGGTGAACCTGGACCTGAATCACCAAATCCATTAACTACAAAAAGCTTGGAGGAAGATGATCAGTTTTGTAATTTAACATGTCAAGAAAATTAAAATAGATTCAAACTGGTCATTTGAGTTTAAAGAAATCAAATAGTTGTTTATAGCTATTTTTTTACTTTACAGTTTCAGAGGATCCCAGTCTGGGCGGGACATATTCTGGGGTTGAACCGATGGGTCTACTGTGGAGCCTCAGACCAGTTCCAGGCAACAAACCTGGGCTCAGGTAGGCCAACAAGGGTAGAGCTGTTCAGATGATACTAGTCATCAGTATCAGAATCAACTCTCTCCCATCATCCCTCAGGCTGAGGAAGATGAACGTCCAGACTCCCATGGAGGTCACAATCTTGGTGTATGAAGGCCACCAGACTGAAGGCTTCACAGACCAGGTGCCGCTGGCCGGTGTGGTGGTGGTGGAGCGCTGGTACATGGCGCCTGGCGTCCGCAGGATCCCCATTACAGAGGATGGACTCACTGCTGCCCTCCTCCTGCCCCCAGGTAGGACCAGAGGAGAGTCTGGAGGGAGGTGTCCTGTGGGTGACATCGGCTCTTAAAGGGTCTATACAGCCATGTCTTCATGGGTTTTAACTAAGGGAAATGAGGCAAATGTATGCATCTAATGAGTTTTTACATTTTCTTATGAAAATTAATTATTTTACACCACATAAATCAGTTCATGTAAACTGAACACACACTCCTCTGCTGAGCGTCTGCAGCAGTTATAGCCTAGCTATTAAGATTGTAATTAAGACAAAGCTTTTTCTGCTACATGCAGATCAAGAACTTTTGAATATAAAAACGACTCACTGAAATTGGTTGAGGTATATAAATGTTAATTTGCTTTTTAATCCATCCCCGTTTAATTGCACTTGTTCACAGGCAAGTTTTGACCTTTCTAATATGGTGGAGAAATTGATGTACGATCAAGCAGCCAATGAGGCATCTATGTTTCTGTATCTAAGCCTGTATGTACCGACGTCTACTTGAATCCTTGAATGTCCAAATAGAGACACAACAAAGTCCCTTTGTCATGCTACCTTTGCGTTTTTACATAGACACAAGTAACTGCTACATCATGCTGCTCTAGTGTGATTATAGACAGCATGCTGACATCACGCAATTAAAAAAGGCATGACGAGCGTGACTTGTAACACAACAGCGTTGCTCTAGTGTGACAAATAACAGGCAACGCTTTATAAATAATAACAATAATGTTAACATGGCATTAACAGTCACTTACTGTCCCTGTTATATGACAGCTAATCTCGTCCTTTGCTGGGAGGGTAAGGAGCTCCAAGACCTCATTGTCTCGCCAGTTTGCTGACATCTCTGGCTGCTGTCCTTCTTTTTTGAGTTAGTTGCTAACTGCTATCAGCTACTTTTTAAATCTCCTGGTGGTCGGTGGGTCGCACTTATAACGTGGTCAAAACATCACACCCATGCCCCCATAATCCCATCCTGCTGGCTGTGCTGTTACTACCTCCAATGCTGGATTAAATAGAAAACAAAGACATGTATTCAGCACCTCAAGGTGTGGCGGCAGCCGTCCGCCTCCCAGAAGAATTAGCAGGATGGTTTCAGGTGCCAAATTCTGCACCACACGTTACACTGATGATAGCAGAAGGTTATGAGTCTCATCATTTGGGTCCAATGGTCGGATGTGCACTGCAGGTGCGAGAGTGGTTACCCAACAAGAACAAATACATCCACATTTCAGATGACAAACAATACATTAGAATCTCAACTAAGACAGGTGATAAAGCAGTCACAGATAAGGTACTTGTAGATGGTACTACTCCCACACAGATGGCAGTCACAGAAGAACACGCACAGTTCCACCACAGCTATGGACAGCACATAAAACAGACGTAGGCTTGATAAAATCAGCGCAACCTATTCACATCACACTAAAACCACATGCTAGCCTACCATACCAGAGGCAGTATCCTCTGTAGCGGCATGCCATTGACGGTATCCAACCCACAATTGAAGGCTTGGTAAAAGCCGGAGTTCTGGTCAAAACTAGAAGTCCCTGCAACACGCCCATTTTTCCAATCAAGAAACCAAATTCCTCAGAAGAGCAGCTAATGCAGTGGTGGAAACAGAGACGCCACATGTGCCAGATTCACACACATTGCTTTCAAACATACCATCCGACACACAGTGGTACACAGTTATCGATTTGTGTTCAGCCTTTTTCAGTGTACCGCTACACCCAGACTCTCAATATTTGTTTGCATTCACTTATGAAGGTCAGCAATATGACCTAGCTAATTTGAACGTGCCAAGCACTGTATTACAACATGCATATGATTTGCTTGTCTGTAGCTTTTCAAAAGAACAATGTCAAAAAGATTCCATTGCAGTGCTCACAGCATTAGCAAAGGGGGGGACACAAAGGTCCGTAAAAACAAATTGCAGTTCTGCCAGCAGTCTGTAGAGTACTTGGGCAGACAGTCGAGTGGGGATAAAAAGTGCATTGCCCCATCTCAAATAGAGGTAGTAAGTAAGGCACCTCAACCGCAGGCGGTGGGCCAAATGCTGTCTTTTCTCGGCATGACAGGATACAGTCGGCCATGGATTTGTGACTATGCTATAAAAACTGCTCCACTCAGAGCTTTACTAAGGGCAGTAGGACAGACAAACAACACAGCACAATTGACATGGACAGAGGAAGCTGAGGGTGTGTTCCAAATCTAAAAAATAGACATGCAGTCAGCTCCAGCGTTAGGGACTCCTAACTATGCTAAACCTTTTCATCTCTAGGTAGCAGAAAGATCAGGCTTTGCATGTGCCGTCCTGATGCAAGACATGCCCACAGGCCAGGCGTACGGGCTATGAGGTAATCCTATCAGCCCCTGAATTTAACATTCAGCGCTGTTCCACCATCAACCCCGCCACTAAACTGGTGCTGCCAACAGATGGTAAGTCACATGATTGCATTCATGACACAGAGAAATTTATGTGAAGATTTGCACAATCAACCAATCCCAGCTGATCTCACATTGTTTGTAGATGGCTCATGTTTTCGTGACGCTACTGGTAGCCATGCAGGCTACGGGATTGTTCAACTTCACAACAATGACCACACCATTGAGACACTACAATCACGTAAACTTGCTCAGCCATGCTCAGCCCAACTTGCAGAGATAAAAGCTTTAACAGCAGCATGTAAATTGGCAGAGGGACAATCACTAAATGTATACACAGACTCAGCATACACCTATGGTGTGTGCCACGTCCATGCTAACATATGGAAACAAAGAGGATTCGCAGAGCTGACGGCACTCCTGTAACACATGGAGCTGCCATCCTCGACCTGATAGAAGCCATGTTCCTTCCCACAGCTCTAGCAGTAATTAAATGTCCAGCCCACCAAAACACTGATACATTGATAGCCAAAGGCAATAACCTTGCAGATGAACAGGCAGCAATAGGGGCAGTAATGACACCCTTACTAACCATACAAGACTGTGAACCCCTCACAACCATGCCCTCCCTCATAGCAGCTCAAAACAGAGTTACTGAGGCTGAAAAACGTCTATGGGTAAAAAGATACAATATCATCAGACAATGGTAGTCATTTTGTGTCTAACGTCATACAAGAGACACTGAAACAACTAGGGATCAAACAAAAATTTGGCTGCGTTTACAATCCCCAATCACAGGGAGCTGTAGAAAGAGCAAATGGTATTTTAAAAACCAAAATAGCAACAATAGTAGTAGATAGTGGGGACAAGCTTAGCTGGGTGGATGCTTTACCGCTTGCACTAATGTCAATGCGCTCACAAGCTAACAGAATCACGCATCTAACACCACATGAAATGCTTACGGGTTCACCCATGCCAATACCATATTTGAGGGGTCCCTATGAAGGGCCCCCATTGGAGCAACTGCAAAATGAAATGTTTGACTATTTACGAAGTCTAACCTGTATCCATAGGGCTATCTCCCAGCAGGTGAAAGGCACCACAGAGGACAGAAGGGTCGAAATCCCAGAAGACCTTCAACGCATACTTCCTGGAGAGTGGGTGTACGTCAAGGTGTTCAAAAGGAAGTGGGACCAGCCACGCAGAGAAGGTCCATACAAGGTCATATTAGCTACACCAACTGCCTTGAAAGTTGAAGGTAAGAACGTTTGGTTCCATCTTAACCACTGCTGCAGAGCTAACAACCCAGAGAGGGTGTCGACAGAGAGCACCTCAGAGGAAAACACCCCATCCTCAGTCGCCACCTGCTAGCCACAGGGCTGAGGATGAGGGCCCAAGCGCAGGGGGAGCAGAGAGAGGAGAGAGAGCAGAGACAGAAAGAGAGCAGGGAGAAGAAAGCAGCAGCTCAGAAACAGGTGAAGATGGTAACTTGACTCAAGTTTACATACGTATGTAGACAGAGACCAACAAGTACAACATTCCAATTGGAACACTAAAAACCTCATCAATTCTTGATTGGTTAGAAAAGTTCTCTGTTGGAAAAATCTTACAGACTATAGGAGTAATATTTGGACTCGGCATCCTTCCCCTAGTACAGATCCTGATAAGAAGGGCCATGAGAACGGCCACGGGACAATTTATTATGCTGATACAACAGCAGGAAAAGCTCCCCGAGAAAGGCGAATTGTGGAAACTAGATAAACCGTGGGTAAGATCCTATGCATCCAAAAGATTGAACAACGATTTATATGAAACCATGATTGACAATACGGACGTATGTGAGAATATGGCTGACAATATAAACTTATATGAGCCAATGAAGGGGAACCTGGAAGGGGAATACGAGGTTGTATAGAGAGAGAGAGGGAGAGCCGATTCAGGGTAAGAAATAACCAAATAATTGGCAATAGATTCAGGAAAAACCTTGCTGTTACCAAACCCATACTAACAATCGACTGATTAACATATATAGGTTATCTATACCACAGGGCAATTAGGAGGAAAAGGAGGGAAGTGAATTGAACTAAACAATGTCCTTTCTAACACACAGATTGGTGCAGAGCATGGCCAGCATGTGGAGATCCCTGTATCCAAAGCAGCAGAATCCAGGGTTGGCCTACCAAGAGCGCCCAGCCATGTCAGAGGACCAGCCCCCATTTGAGCCCAGGCTAGGGATGACCTACAGCGGCAACTGGTCAACCACCACGTGCTGCAACGGAAGATTGAGATGCTGAGGGGATCAGGTGGCGTCCTACCGGCGCCTGCGGATGACTGGTACATCCGCCTATGTGCCCGACGGACAGTAACTTGGCAGCATTAACAGCAAAGATAACTATGTACCTTGCTTACTGTACCCGGTATATGTGAAGTTATCATGTATTCACTGAAGAAAATACCAGTAACGACTGTAGTCACAACCACTGTATAAGAATGTCATTATGATTAATCATGCAACAAGAAAAACAAAGACATTATTAGGCTAGCTCTTATACTCTATATACATACGAATTATTCGAGGTGATAATCATGAATTGTGTGTGATACCTACGGATGACAAAATGTGTGACAGATACTGCTGATAATCAATGAAGTATGACTTATGTGCAGCTCTACTGATGTTGATCACTGGAAAATGATTCATGTGTGATAATAGCCAATCTAAATCTTAATGGTATGGGACTATGAAGTCCCAAAGGGGGGATATATATATTTTCTCCCCCTTGCTGTGATTTAAGATATTATATGGGACTATGGAGCCCCAAAGGGGGGAATGTAGTGTAATGTACTGATTTACTGAAGACATATACTGTACCTTTTAGCTGACCTTTAAAAGATATGTGTTGAAGCAATATAATCTGTGCAACTGACAAATTACACACTGGTTTAATATTTCATGTATTCTTATGACACACACGCACACTTATTGAGCACTTAAGCATTGTGGTGGAGAAGTACCTAGGACTCACTGTGAATTATTTCTAAAAATAGCATGAGGATGGGTTCAGAAAACACTAGTGGAAAATTAGGGGAATTGCAGTTTGTCCTGAGAATGACCCTAGAGGGGGAAGGACTAAAAAGTGCTGAGTCAGCAGAAATATGACACCATTATGGTGGAGAAAAAGTGACTCAGCAGAGGTGGGATATCGTTACGATCAGAGCCAAGTGGGAAGGATTAAGAAAGAGATGACTCAGCAGAAAATCTTAATGATAAAAACAAGTGCGCAAACAAAGAAATTCCAGCCTTGCTCCGGAGCTTGGCTCATTTGGGTTGTGATGTGTTTGTTGCCTGCGAGCACATTAAACTCAGGTGCATCTGATTCTACGTGTCTCCAGTGATTTTTTTTGACCTCTGAGTATTTGAGTTTTTGATATCTAATGGAAGACAAAGAAAGTCCGTTTGAGAGGAAAAGAGCGAGGTCGTGAGCTAACTGGCCCGGCTCGGGACCTTGACTTTTTTGCTTCTACAGCCATCAATCTGCTTGTACAGTGAGTGTTTGAAATGAAGCAATTTAAGGAGTAAATGAGTCATTTATGGGAAGCTGGGGGATGAAATTAAGAATTTTAAGGGACTGTGAGTTAATATTTAGGCCTTTGTGCAGAGACACATATAAATGTCTACTCTGACACTGTAAAGGAGTTCAACTCAGTTTTTGTTAATGTAGTCCAATATCACAAATAACAGATTCGCCTGAGAGGACTTCACAATCTGTAGCGCATACAACATTGTATATCCTAACTCCAACTGAAAAAAACTTGCTCTGTTCAGATATTGAGAATGTGCAGAGTTAACAAATGATAAAAACTAATTCAGTATCACTGAAGTTCCTGTAAGGACACAGCAGAGGAAGGGAATGAGTGAACAAACAAGAGCAAAGAACACTGGTGTGTGTTTATCATTTTGTTTAAACATTGCGAGGGAAACATCAAGTAGGGGGGTCTGAGCCTTCATTTTCTGCATTTTGGTAAAAATGTTTTTATCAATTAATGGTAGAAATGTATTTATTTATGTAAAGAAAAATAAAACTTAGATGACAAATCCAAATAGAGGTAGAATATAATGCAGTAACACTCTTGGGCATTCTGTAATGCTGTGCTTTCAAATATTTATTCTCCTGTAAATCGTGTCTTTTTATTTTATTATTTTAAGCATCTTTTTATTTTTATCCACTTCTCATTATTATCCACTTCTCATTATTATTATTATTATTATTATTAATTGCCGTTTCTTGTATTTTTGTACTTTTCTGCATGCCTAGTTTTTAAGTTGTTAAATTTTGAAATTCTTAATCTGACTCTTCTCCCTGGCTGCTGTAACACTGGAATTTCTCAATTGTGGGATCAATAAAGGTGTATCTAATCTTATCTTATTTAATGTTGTCTCACAGAGGCAGCCAGCAGTCTTGACTTTTTGTTTTTTTTTTCTTTGTCGGGGGAGGCGCACAGACTCTCCACCACTGGGAAACAACCAGCTTTGAGTTTTAATTCATTTTTTTGACAACTGCACTTGTATCCGAGTGAAACCAGACTAGAGATTACAACAAGTGTAATCGGCGGGACCCTTCTGCACATGAGAGGAACAACCCACCAGCAAAAACAGGGAGCTAACACTATAACAAATGCGTAAGAGTGAACAAGTCATTGACTCTGTAGCCGCTCCTGTAGAAAGAGTTGAGCCACCAACTTCCAACATCAAACATCAGAAATCAAATGAACCCAGTTAACCAAGACCAAAGGAATAGCCTCAAAACCACACCCCACACCTGACTGACTGAAAATCTAATGACAGCTAACACATCTGTCAGGGAGCTGACAGAGCTGTTGCCAGGCATCCTCTCCACACATCCAAGTGATATGGGGATTATCATACGTGCTGGGTCTTTTGACAAGTATGTTTCTGGGAACCTCAAATAAACCAGGGACAGAAGAACGCGGTGTTCTTGGAGGCAAATGATTAACAAGAGAATTGGCAATGTAGCTCGGTCCCAACCCATTTAGGGCTTTGTATTCAAGGAGGAGGAGCTTAAAATCAATTCTCAATCAAGTCTCAGACACATGATCTCAGAGACTGCTGTAAAATGTCTAAACCAGTTTAACACAGTCAGAAAGACTGAGCAACTTTACAAGACAAATGATAAAGAATTCAGTCAGTCGTCAAATTCTTGGGTCTAAAAGGACAATAATCAAGACCTTATTTTCATCAGAATTTAGTCTGAGGTCGCTGATTAGAGCCAGTTGTCCTTATGTGAAGGATAACTGGCTCTGAAATTCTGAAGAAAGACTTTGGCCTGCTGCTGGAGAAACCGAGTAACTGTCAGTCACAACACGTATTCATTTCAGGTCCCATTCCAAATCTAGGTAGAGGAATGGAAAGTTTTAGCAGACTCCTTAGCTTGAATACATGGTTGGCATCGGCGTGCCGCACCTATGGCATAAAGGTTATTGTTGGTTATTATTATTATATCACTTGATGCAGATTGCTGGGTGCCAGCCTCAGTCATGCACTTGGGTTGCCATACCCAAACAAAAGCAAGACAGACAAGGCACACAGATACAGACAGACAGCCCGAAAAACAACAGGGGTAAACATTGACAGTGTTTCAGTATCTGATACCTATATCTGACCATCACTGTGATGCCAAACTAAACTCAACAAAGACCAAAGGTGAAATCCTGCTTCAAAAGAAATTTCTAGATGCCAAGGCTGAATCAGAGTTCTCTAATATAATGGGATCATTTGACCCATAACAAAAGCTCCCCATGGTTAAACAATAACAGTGTTAATGAGAATCTGTCAAGCAGCTGAAGGAAAATGGAGGAAAACTAAGATCACAGTTCACTGTAATATATACAAAGAGGCCATGACACAGCTTTTGTCAATGACGTCCCAAATCTATGGAACACACAGCCTATACTGTAGATATCAGGGAAGCCAGTTTCCTATTTTAAAAAGAAAGCTAAAAACGGATCTGGTGACTTTAGCCTTTAACTCGCTCTGACTTCCTGATACAGGTCTGAAACTCTTTTTACACCCCACGCTGCTGCAACACTTTTAAAATCTCACTTGGTTTAAAGATGTATAGTTTTACAATTCCATGGTTTCATGATGTCATTTTTTTATTACTTATATGATTTTAAGGTTTATGGTTTTGCTTTGATTAGTGGGTGGCAGATTCTGGAGCAGCTGTGGGCCGTACCCAGCATAGACAATACCCGCAGTGAGGTGTAATGGTGATTCATTATGTGATCTATTGCCCCATGAGTATCATCTGTTTGATCGAATTCAGCTGAAGAGCTCGTCACTGTGTTTGAATGAGCAAGAGAGAACAATGATTGAGTGCAAACTTGACAAACTCAAAATGTCTTTAAACTCAAAATGTTCATAGATTCTGGTCAGTTCACACATCTGTCCAAACAAACATTCTACCCTCACTCCTCACTCCTAACTCTTTCACTGCAGCAAGTGACTCTCGATTTATGTTTGTGCTCAGTTCAGGATGGACGTGAAACAGCATTGTGTGAGGCTGTCAGTAAAGCCATCCAGAGGACTCGTGGATGAGAAGTTCACCATCTTGGTCCAGAATGTCTTTCCTGGTTCCTACCTTACCATCCACGCCCTCCACCAGAGTGAGGAAGGACACAGCTGGGAGGCGTTCGCTCACTACACCGCTAACGCCACTGGGACTGTGAACGGTATGTAGTTCAATATCTAGTCTTGGAAAAAAAACAGATTATTGAATTAATTGATTGAGAGTTGATGAAAAAACTTTTTGAAATGTTTGTGCGGTAGCTTTGTCGGCATTCAAAAAAGCAATTTATAAATGTCCCTGGTTTTGGTAAATTTGGTAAATGTGTTAAAAGAACGGTAAATTTATTTGAGTATTTTACAGGCTTCTTTGTTTGAAATTTAAAAATTAAAAAATTAAAATTATGTAGCATAAAATGTCGATCTGAATGGTGAACCTGAACCTCAATCACCAAATCCATTAACTACAAAAAGCTTGGAGGAAGATGATCAGTTTTGTAATTTAACATGTCAAGAAAAGTAAAATAAGCCACTTTTACGCCACAGGAACTTTTATCAATTACCCAGGATTTTGAGAAACTCCACTGAAATTACCCGGGTAAAAAACTTTCCCTCAACCCCAAACTGAAAAAAGTACCTAGTAGGGGGGTAGGACTTTCAGATTACCCGGAATTCTTGAGGGGCGGGGCTGTGTGCCGAAGAACACTGATTGGTGGAACACACACTTGCAGCGCTCTGCGCCGGTGCAAACATAGTTTCATTTCTACATGCTTCACTTCCTGTGTGTTTTGATTAAGGATGGGTACCGAAACCCAGTACTGAATTAGCCCTGGGGCTAAATTATCAAAGACCGTAGTATTGATTAGCGCCAACAGTATTGGTTCTCCTCTGCGCTCTGTGTTGTACGCACATTCACACACATCCACAGATACACAGACGCGACACGTTAACTGGGGAACAGCCGAGTGGTCCCGGTGGAAATGAAGTGAAGATAACTCAAAAATGACTCGAGTTGACGGCAGCTACACTCATTACTGTAAGTGACATAAAACCTTAATGAGTAAGAAGCCAATACTTTATCAATACATGTGTTCAGCAGCATGAACATTTAAACACATAGACAGCGATATTCAATATGCTCGGTCCACAGTCTCTCATCCACCGTTACTAATGTGATGTCTTACACAAGGACAGCACACTAGTTCAGCTGATAGTGAATTGTTCCTAATAAGCTCAAATGACAGCTGTCTGTACGTAGACTAACTTAGTTTGACACTTATCTTAAAATACTTTTAAATTTAGCTGCTGGCTGAGACGAACAGCCCCAACTCTCTACACCAGCATGTAACCAGCTAAGCTGGGGGAGCCAAATACAGGACACATGCCGAATCATTTCCGTCATCACGCTAATTTGAATACATTTACCGGAACTTTGAGGTACGGTGGAAACCACGCAGATTACCAGGAATTCTTTTACCCAGGTAAATAAATTCCTGGTAATAAAAGTTCCTGGAAATGTTGGTGGAAAAGGGGCTGTTGATTCAAATTGGTCATTTGAGTTTAAAGAAATCAAATAGTTGTTTATAGCTATTTTTTTACTTTACAGTTTCAGAGGATCCCAGTCTGGGCGGGACATATTCTGGGGTTGAACCGATGGGTCTACTGTGGAGCCTCAGACCAGTTCCAGGCAACAAACCTGGGCTCAGGTAGGCCTACAAGGGTAGAGCCGTTCAGATGATTCCAATCAATATCGACACAAATATCAGTATCAAAAACTTTTTCCTATCATACCTTAGGCTGAGGAAGATGAACGTCCAGACTCCCATGGAGGTCACAATCTCTTTGTACCAGGGTCACCAGACTGAAGGCTTCCTGGACCAGGTGCCTCTTGCCAGTGTCATGGTGGAGCGTTGGTACATGGCGCCTGGTGTCCACCGGATCCCGATCACAGATTACGGACTCAGCGCTGTCCTCCTCCTGCCCCCAGGTAGGACCAGAGTAGAGTCTGGAGGGAGGTGACCTGTGGGTAAAGCCCAGGTCTACAGACTTTCTTTTAAGGCTCCTACAAATTCAATTAATAATTTGTCCTGTTGCGTGGGGTCAGTGTGGAGTTGGTGCATTGAGGTCGAGGTGGTTAAAGGGTGTTTAAACGTCCCATGTCACCACGTAAGACGCAGGTTCACATATTATCTCATAAAAGTTGTCAGCATTAACATCTTTATATTTAGCCATGACTACATCCTCCTTGACCTTGACCTTGACCTCCTTAAGTCCTAAAAACATTGGTGACCAAAGGTACATCAAAACTGGACAGACCAGTACTGTAGGAATAACTAAATGAAAAAACGTTGAAATAGAAATATTCGAAATATTTCTAGTTGAATTTACTCCAGGAGTTCTACTAACATACGCTATCAGTGTATCAACACAGATCAACATCATCCATTGAGCAATGCTGCCAGCATGGCTAATAAAAATAATTGTATCCATGTTGGGTTGGGTAAGTTTACCCTTGGACCCTCTGCCCGTTGACATATTACCGTAGAAGCCACATTGGCTGTGTCAGAAGGTTTCAGCGATACGTCAAGGTTACCCACCATATTGGAGAGGGCAAGACTTGCCCATAATAGAGTTTTTTTCCTTTGCACCAGCATAGCCGTGGCCTGAGGCTATATGTTTTCAAGTTGTCTGTCCATACTTCTGTACGTCCCATTCTTGTGAATGCGTTATCTGAAGAACACCTTGAGGGCATTTCTTCAAATCTGACACAAATGCTCACTTGGACTGGAAGGCTTTTACTGTGAAACATTTGCAGGAACTTGTGAAGAATAGATAGATAGATAGATAGATAGATAGATAGATAGATAGATAGATAGATAGATAGATAGATAGATAGATAGATTGATAGATAGATAGATAGATAGATAGATTGATAGATAGATAGATAGCCTTTATTGTCCCATGGGGAAATTTGTTTTCACAAACTGTCACAACAACATTTGGGTACACATAAACACCACCAACAAACACAATGCACAAACACCACCAGACATGAACAACTGACACATATATATCACACTCAGGAGGGCTGGGTCCGTACAAGGTTATTGGGGGAGGTTATTGAGTGCAGAGATGGCAGACGGGACAAAGCTCTTGTTGAAGCGTGCTCGTCTCCACCTCAGGGTCCTGTATCTGTGCCCAGACGGCAACAGTGTGAAGTGTGGGTTGAGAGGGTGATCCGAGTCATTGGTTATTGTTCGTGCGAGACGTGTCATAGATCGGTGGTTGAGCTCTGTGAGGTTGGGTATGGGATGGTTGATGATTTTGGATGCGGTGTGTGTTATTTTTGTTAGTTTGTTCCTGTTAGAGGTGGACAGCATGTTGTAGAAACAGGGGGAACAGTACAGAAGGATGGGTTGAATGATACTGGTGTACAGTAGTGACAGAAGGTGGGGGGCAACAGAGAGGGCACGGAGCTTGCGGATGACATGGAGTCTCTGCTGGGACCTTTTGTGAATGTTGGTGTTGTGATGTGAATACAGTGACTTGCATAGTTTGCATGCTACTACCATCTGGTGGCGCTTTTTATGTTACTGCAGTAACATTTCGGCTGGGACATCAACAGCTATAGTGACTGAAATAATAGTAATAATAATAAAAACAGGACAAGAATGATGCAAGCGACATCATGCATATCGGAAAGATGATCAGGGATGATTGGTGTGGACCATCGTGTATCTGTCATGTCTGTCGGCCAAGTCACAGTAAGATTTTATGACTCCGCAATCGCCTAATTTGACATAGTGACTGTTTGAACAGACAAAAATGTTGTGTAGTCACTCCTCTAGTGTCCGGGAGTGATTCTATCCAAACTAGCGAGATTCTAGTTTACTAAGACAAAACATTTTTTTCTACTACATGCAGATCGTAAACCTTCAAATATAAAAACAGCCCACTGAAATTGGATGAGGAATATAAATGTTAATTTGCTTTTTATCCAGAATAAAAGCAGCTCTCTAACATGGTGGCGACATTGACGTACGATCAAGCAGCCAGTGAGCCATCTATGTTTTTGTATCTAAGCCTCTACCTACCTACCTCTCCTTAAATCCCTGAACCTCCAAATCAAAACTGCTAACTCAGTAGGTGAGTCTAAACTGCTATAGCCCTTTTTATACAGAGATCACGCGATAGAGAAACTATGAAGTCCCTTCCTTACGCAGCCTCTGCATTTTTACACAGAACCAAGTGTGTGATTTTAGACAGCATGCTGACATCACAGAATCAAAGGAGGCATGACGGGCGTGACATGTAACACAACAGCATCTGCCTCTAAGTGTGACACATAACATATGCATCAGCAGCGCTTTCTAAACGATAACACTGGCATAACATGATATTAACAGTCATTTACCATCAATGTTATAAGGCGGCCAATCTCGTCCTCTGCTCGGAGTTGAAGGAGCTCCTGGACCTCATTGCTTTGTTTTTGTGGATGTTTTCTGCCACTGTTCTTCTTCTTTGAGTTAGCTGCTAACTGATATCAGCTACTTTCTAAATCTCCAGCGGTGGGTTGCACACATGTCGTCAAAACGTCACACCCATGCTGCTCATGATCCCATCCAGCCAGTTGTCCTGTCTCTACAGAAATCGTTTCTGTGCTGTTACTACCTCCGATGCCAAATTAAATAGAAAACAACTCAGTCCCGCCATTTTGTAATCGTACCTTTACTACAGAATGGCGAGGCGGGGTAACGGTGTGGCATTCCCGCCTTGAGGAGGCACTGCCTCCAACCCACAATGTGTAAAAGCACTGTAATGATCTTTAAGAGCATGTCCTGCAGTGAGTGGGTCCTGGGATTAATGACTCTGTCTCTCATCAATCTGCAAACATGTGCCAAAAAGCTCCTTGCACACTGAAGGTTAGAGAGCAGAGCATGCACAAATCAGAATGTCAACTGAATCTTTTTGGTATTTCAATTACTCTGAAGGACCAGGACCTTTCCCCGGTGTCCTGGAGCTGTGGGGGGGTGGAGGGAAGTTGGTGGAGTACCGTGCAGCGCTGCTGGCCTCCCACGGCTTTGCATCCCTGGCCCTCGACTACCTGACACCTAAAACCACCATGGAAACAGGGAAGATGGTGGACAATGAGTACTTTGAGGTAAACCCAAGTCCAGTTCACTCGTCTTAGATTTTAGCTGCTAAATGTTCCACTTTCTTTCCCAGCTTGTTGTTAACCTCAAAACTGAGAGATATAAGCTTTGTTTTCACTCTGGAATGTCATAAAGTGAAAACAAATTAAAGTTGGCACTTTGACTCCTATTAAAATATTTTGGTGTGTATTAACGAGTGTATTGACAGCTTCTTTAAGAAAATAATAATGGTTAAGTAGCTGTTGTAAACTGTAGCACATTGCAACACTTTCCCATTAGGATAGAGAACAAAAGAACATCTTAAACTCCTTGACTTTGATTTGATTTAATAAAATGTTGTCAGTATGCAGTTTATTTTCAGATTATTTTTCATTTGCACGATTGGACTGCATGGAGCATTACACTTTCCCGTACACTAGTTTACTTGCTCCAGGTCAACAAGCACTGCTCACACACACTGCACTGCTGTTGCAGAGAGGCATACTCTGAGAAATACGGCACTCAGGCTGCTGTCAGCCCTAGAGTGGTCTCCTCTGGTCTGAATCAGGGACTCATGTTGTTCCAAAGTTGTATAATTGCCTAGAGTTGGTTTGTGTTTTCACGGCAGCATTTACAAGAGGACCAGATCAAATGCCTTGTGTGAGAAAGCTGCTCTTGATTGGTCAGAATTTCCATGTGGGAAAAATCCAGGAAGTAAAGCAAACGTTGAAGAAGAGTACACTTGCAAGATAAATGTGACACTTTCTAATGTCACAATGGAGGGACAACTACGCAGGTTGATTTTAGCGCTGCTCATCGTGGACTATATTGCTGTCATTGTTCATTTTAGTCAAACCATACAGTTTGAAAACGAGGCTCGGCTCCAACTAGAAAACAATGTTTTGATGCATTGGATGTGCTGAATGTGCATATTAAGGCAGTACAGGAGGAGGTGCACATTAATAATCCTCCAGGACTGTAACTTGCTCATGTTTAACCCAAACAATGTGTCATGTGACTGCAGTTGCTTCACATCCAGGTCGGAACACCTTCTCACCACAAACCAACTGCACCAGAGTTCATTTGTAACTGGACTGAGACCACCTCTTCAAGAAGGTCTCAGTCTGGTTGTTTTGCTGTGTTCACACCTGCCCAAACACACTGCACTGAGGGGGCAAATCAACTTGAGTTCGACTGAACTGACAGACAGGGCAAGTGTGAAAGCACCCTTAGTAAAACAATGCCATTGTTAAAGTACTGGTACTAATAAATTGAGGTACTGTAACCAGTTCAACAGCAGGGTATTTTGATTAGTAAATACACCCAAAATCAATAAACCCATAAAAAACTTGTTTCGAGGAGGTGTGTCCACAAACTAGAGGAAATGTCATTCACAGTTTTAGGCCACCAAACCACAGTAAAGTATGTTTCTGACATGTTTCCCTGCTGCAGAGGGCGTACAGAGTTCTGGAGCAGCATCCTCAAGTCCTCAGTGATAGAATCGCCATTTTGGGTATTTCCTTCGGCGCCTGTGTCGTCTTCAAATTTGCTGTTTACTCCCAAGTTATGAAGGTAAGGAATATGTGACTAAATCAAAGCTTAAAGAAGCTCAATGTGGCTGTAATTAAAGTAAGTGTGGTTTTGAAGGAGATTAGAACTCAGACTAAATCTACACTGAGTCAAACACTGACCCTTGTTAGCTAACCATATTTTCTAAGCTTGGTGAGTGGTGAATACCTCCTCCAATACATTGATTTTCATTGCCTTTGTAGAGATTCTTCCACTTTTCCACTTCAGTGGGCTGTTACTGGTGTAACTGGTAGTTCCTTTTTTCAGCAGTATTTCAGCTCAGTTCTTTTGCTGCTAAATTGTTTTCAAGCTTTTGAGCTTTAGAGACTGTTTTTTTTTGTGCATCTTTTTATGTTGATTTGCAGCAGTCATTTCTGTATCTTGAAAGTGTGTGTGTGGTCTTTCAGGTCAAGTGTGTGGTAGCTATTAGTGGAATTCATGAGCAGCCGTTGGACGGGATGATAGCGGACATCTTAGCTCACTATCACAAGTAAGTTGTTCTGTTGTCACTTACTTTGTCCATGATGTTACACACATAGACTCAACTAACAAATTGTTTTTTTATTTAGAATTTAACGGTTCAGATCTGGAGCTAGATGCATTGAACTGTGTGTAGATTATATGACTAAAACTGTGTGAAATGGGGAGACAGAGAGAGTGGGGGGACGACATGCAGCAAAGGGTTGCAAGCCGGAGTCACACTCGCGACCACTGCAGCGAGGCATCACCTCTATATATGGGGCGCCGGCACTATCCTCTAAGCTACCGACACCCCCAAAGCTGGAATTTTATGCCATTATTCTGCCTCACGTTCTGTATAAAAGGTACGACCACAGAATGGGGGGACTGAGTTGTTTTGCCTTTAAGCCGGCTATCAGAGGTAGTAACAGCTCCTCTCTGAGACATTCCTGGATCAAGCGTTGACTTTAGTGTCTGTCGATTTAGAAACGCTGCAAAAACTCGCTACAACGAGGCGAATGAGGTGATCTGCCGTGATCTGATGCTGCCCATCACCACAGACCCTGCATTCAAGGTGGATGTAAGTGATACATTTTTTTGGAACACCCCTCAAAATAACATTAATATTGTATTAGAAAAGTAAATTTTGTGTTTTCTTTGTGCTTGGTTTTGTATTGTCTGACAGCAAAACAGTTAACAAGTGATTTGCAATACATTATCACCTGTGGAATCACATGTATTGTAGATTTTGTCCATGAAGTATATGTGGATGAAATGACCTCTCTAGCTATAAAGCTGCAGCATGTGAAGAAATCTGAAAATCTGTTGTTTGTTTATGAAGATCCCCAGTAGCTGTGATCCTCAGTAGAGGAAAGCAGCGGCCCTAAGCAGCTTCTGTGTGGGACACCATACTCTTTACCATTAATGAGTTTGGGTAAAGAAAAAATTAATATGTGTAATGAGTTTTTCCCACCACAGAAAACTGTGTTGTTAAACACCCAGCTAAATTTAAATGACTAAAATAATCCCAAGTGTATAAAACTTGGCTTCAGAATCACAAAAAAAAGCAGGACACTCAGCTCTGAGACACCAGGGGCGTGTCAGCTAACAGAGCTGGAACAGAGATTGAGCCGCTGCAAAGTGACAGACTCGTGTTACCAGCTAACCTTGTAGTACAAAGGTCACACACATCCCCAGTCGAAGAACGGGCTGTCACGCAGCTTCGGACTCCTAGCAAAAAACCCAGTAGCACAGTAACATACACGACCCCCAAGCCAAAGGACAAGTGCTGCTCCAAGGTGCTAGCCTTTATAGCTTGATCTATAGATCTTTTATTAAAAAAAAAAAATCTGTTTCCTTTTCCTTTGATAACCTGTCCAGGTAGTCAGTGGGACTGATTACCCAGGCCCCAATAAGAGGGGGGCGTGGAATTAAAAATCTGGTTTTGTTTGCAGTTTTTCTTTATTTCTAAGTAATTAGTGCCATAACCACATTAAAACTGACTGACTAAAGTAGTTGAAAGACTGAACTTTGTATTAAAAATTTTGGAAGCCCTCGAGGCTGGTCTCATCCTGTAAATTCGCAAAATGGTTTAGTCCGCTCCTGCACTAAATGCAGCCCGAGCCAAGTGAGTGACTGCTGGAGCTCCAACGTCCACATCTTTCTCCAAGAAAGGGACATTGGGGTTCACCAGTTGTAACCAGTTGTCCTTTGTCTCTGAGCAGGTGGGACGACTCCAGTGTCCTCTGTTGCTGGTTGTAGGTGAGGACGATCAGAACTGGCCAGCCTGCGAGGCTGCAATGGACGTGAGTTTCCTGACATGACGACATCCTGTATTAATAAACCACCATAGTCCAGAAGTTTGTCATGGTAGAAAGTGGGATGAGAGAAGTTTAGATGAAACTTGACAGGGCTGCCCCCAACTAAGAATTTTCCTAGTCGACCAACAGTTGTCGTTTAGGACTATTAGTTGACTGGTCACCTGCATGTTTACGATATTAATTTAATGATGTATTTTGGGCGGGGCAACACAATAGTTTGAGTTGAAGGTGTGAGAAAGAATAGTATCAGTAACATTGTTAACACTGTGCTACATTACAGAGAAATACAAAACCGTACTAATGAAGCTTCATTAATATAGGCCTATATTTTATCTACAAGTGCACGTCACACACACACTCAGTGAACTGAGCTACTTCCATGTTTCAGATGATACGTCATGTTTGTAGTCCACCAATGAAGATGAGTTTACATATCGCCTTGGGTTCGTCCTTCACCTTCTCAAAATGATCCCACACTTTGGACACTCATTATCCACCCATGGTGTGATGGCAAGATAAAGTGGTGAAAATATTCTCAGTACAGCATACATTAAACTGATATTGATATTTTTAGGTGCAATTTGCTGCTGCCCCTCCACAGGAGTACTTTGCTGCTGCTTCTCCAAACTGGAGGCGACCAACATCTACTTTATTTAATATAGTAACAATGGATAAGTACCCCAGACAACCCCACTTCAAAAGATCTGAACTGTCTCTTTAAGAAGGAATAGAACAAAGTAGGTTGTTTGGTGGGGTTTTCTATGTTTCGCCAACCACAGCATGTAGTTGATAAAACAGTTTCACCACAAGGTGCTTTGCTGTTTTGCTGATCTTGGATGCAAATGAGTAGGAAAAGAAAATCCAACAATATTAATGAGTATATGTTTTGTTCTGAACTTTTTTCCCAGATGAAGGAGATGATGGAGCGGGCTGGGAACAGCCACCTGCTGACCATTCTGTCGTACCCGAACGCTGGTCACCTGATCGAGCCACCGTACACGCCACACACCAGATCCAGCCTCTACAGAGCGGCTACCACAGGGAAGAGGAGTAAGTTCACATTTAAAATGGGAAGACATCAGCCTGATATTTGCAGACGGCAAGCCATAGAGCATTAAAGGGACAGTTCACTCCCAACATCAAACATGCATACATATCTTTCCTCTTACCTGTAGTGTTTTTTATCAGTCAACAGATTGTTTTGGTGTGAGTTGCCGAATGTTGCAGATATCAGCCGTAGATACAATGGAACTTGACAGCACTTGGTTTGTGGTGCTTAAAGAAAAAAAAAAAATACAGCTGTTGGGAATCAACATATATTTACCTCACACGATGGCACCAAATATGTTGGGGTCAACATATTAGGCTTCACACGGAGGTACCAAATATGTTGGGGTTAAATTGGCTATCGGAAATAATTAATAATTATTATTAATAATTATGTTAAAGAATGTGACTTAATTAACATTAAATCACCTCGTGGGGCACCATTCCCATGAAGGGAAAAATGATAGCCAGTTAAAGATATCAGTGTCATAAAATAGGCTAAACTATTAATTTGGAGTTTAATTAATAATTAAATTAATGACAACAACCAAAATTAACGGTAATGCCTGAAGGATTTCAGAGTTCTTGACGCAGCAGAGGTTGACTATTCATTCACCCTTATGCAGCATTAAACAGACAGCAGGCATGATTCCAAAGAATTACATTTATTCACAAATTAGCAAAGCAAACCAAAACACACAAATTCTAACTAACTATATACAAGCTTGGTGTGTATATGTGTGTGTGTGTGTGTGTGTGTGTGTGTGTGAGAGAGTGAGTGAGTGAGTGAGTGAGTGAGTGAGTGAGTGAGTGAGTGAGTGAGAGAGAGAGAGAGAGAGAGAGAAGAATAAGACAAAGGCGGGTGTGGTGATCAAACAGCCGTTTGGCCTACAAAACAAAATGGCTGACAACAGAGAACTACCAAAATGGCCGAATCAAGGCTGACTTCAGATCGGGGGAGGTGTTTGTCTGACCGTGTGGTCAGGACAAAGACAAAGGAAAAGAAGCGGGAACCTTGAAATGCCTGTTTGGGTGTAGCTCTGTTGAAAGCCTATTTGTTAATGAGTCTATGTCAATGTGACGTGTGTTGCAAACGGTCTGAATTAGTGCAGAGATCGTTTAGTTGCATGCAAGAATCTGTTTGTGAACAGTATTAGCAAACTAAACACTTAGCTGTGGCAAAGCCAACTAATCAATGACCTAACTGCAATCTATCACAGCAATAACTCAGTAAACAGCATCAAATCACATACAACAAGTCAAACAGTCTTTCTTAGCCTGTAAAGCTGTGATGAGCTATGCCCAGTTGTTATATTACCGATCCTTGAATGGATGGAAGAAAGAGTCACTTGGTGGTGGTGCTTTGTTAGCCGGCAGACGAAGGCTGGGAAGATGGTTCCAGCTGCAGTCTTTGTTGTGTCCTTTGTTCCAAAGGTTCTGATCCGAGGAAGCTGGTCGCTTGGGGTCCTTGCAGAGTTAGATGCTGGGTGCTAACTCACTTAGTTCCTTGTTGCTGGAAAGCTGGATGCAAACCTTGTGTTTGCAGGAGAGTCTGTGATCAATTGCCCTCCCTTTAGTGGTTTGGGCTATGGAGCCAGGGTCTAGGCCTCTGGACTGTTCCAGGCCCAACCGGAGAGAGGTGTTAGCTGTTCAACAGCTGGAACAAGAAGAGGAAATTCTGTGGAAGGGAGCAGATCTTGTACAAAAAGCCTGTGACATCACAGAGTCACATGTCACTGAAAAAGTTCTGTCCAATCAAGTTGTGAGACTTGAGTCTCACTGAGGTGTGAGGTGAGACCTCCTGTGGAGATGGGTGCCACCTAGCTCTCTTTGTTTGAAGACAAAGAGCATGCAGAGGGAAAAAGCTTTTAAATCTCCAGTTAAGATTTTACCAAATGAAAAATCATCTGTGGTCCTGTGAAGCCCAACACAACTCAACAGCAATGTCTCTTTCCAGAAATGTTTCATGTTTCATGTTGGACTTGTTTTCTTTCTATCGAATTCCTGTGATGGCCTTGCTCTGAGACCAGAACAAGGAAAGGAAGCATGCGCGGAGTAAACCAAAATAAGAGCTTTAGAGCAGTCACACAGTGAGATGGTCATCCCAAATTTCTGACACTGTCAGAATTTTATCCCAGACTGTTGATTGCAACACCGTAACAAAGGCCATTCTTCAGCCTCTCTCACTGTGCGACATAGGACCACCGTTTTAGAGCCACTACCAAAGATATTGCCACGTTTCTTTCACAGTGGTCATCTTGGGACCAAATTGCACAGTGTATACTGGGCTTTAAAGGAACATGGAGGCAGTGACTAGCTGCCTCCATGTTCCTTGATTAGCCTCCAGCCAGGAACCAGGACGCTGCAAGCACAAAACACAACACAACAATAAGACAACGGACACCAGCCCTGGCAGAGGCCCTGAGGCTATAACACCACACCTGCCAACTGTATCACCAAGCAGATGTAAGTGTGCATCTACACATGGACGAGAAGCTCATGCTTGTGACAGGGTGAGATATAAGCATGACTGGCTTCCACAGCTGAGGTGTAACTTAAAATGCAGCGATGTCTTGGTAAAAACTACTGCTTTTCCTGCTGGACAAACAGTGACATGTCTCTAAAAAACACTCATGTATGGTGCCTTTAAAGCAACTATCCATCCATCCATCCATCCATCCATTTTCATCCGCTTATCCAGGGCCGGGTCGCAGGGGCAGCAGGCCGAGCAAAGCTCCCCAGACATCCCTTTCCCCAGCAATGCTTTCCAGCTCCTCCTGGGGGACCCCACGGCATTCCCAGGCCAGAAGAGATATGTAATCCCTCCACCGTGTTCTGGGTCTACCCTGGGGCCTCCTACCAGTGGGACGTGTCCGGGACTCCTCCAGTGGGAGGCGCCCAGGAGGCATCCTAGTCAGATTCTCGAACCACCTTAACTGACCCCTTCCGACACGAAGGAGCAGCAGCTCCTCCCCCTATCTCTAAGGCTGAGTCCAGCCACCCTACAGAGGAAACTCATTTCCACCGCTTGTATCTGTGATCTCATTCTTTCAGTCACTACCCAGAGCTCATGACCATAGGTGAGGGTTGGGACGTAGATGGACCAGTAAATCGAAAGCTTCGCCTTCTGGCTCAGCTCCCTCTTCACCACAGCTGACCGGTGCAGTGTCCACATCACTGCAGAAGCCACACCGACCCGCTGATCCATCTCACGCTCCATTCTGCCCTCACTCGTGAACAAGACCCTGAGATATTTGAACTTCCTCACTTGAGGCAATAACTCTCTTCCAACCCAGAGAGAGCAATCTACCGTTTTCTGGCAGAGAACCATGGCCTCAGACTTGGAGGTGCTGACTCTAATCCCAGCTGCTTCACACTCGGTCCCCACACTGGACCCCTTCCTCCTGATAAGAGACTACATGGAGCCATTGCCCTGTGGGCCCACCACCAGCAGGGACAGAAATTGGGGGCAGGTGCATTGTGTGCCGGGCGCCAGGCAGGGGCAGGGCCCCTCGCCCCCCTGCTGATCCCTGGAGTTGCAGAGTGGCTTTAAAGCAACTAGAAAAACAGAAATGACTTGCGATGTTTTGTTGTTTGTTGGTCTTAAACAGTGGTCTGCAACTTGGCCGGTGTCCACCTCCAGATGACAAAGTCAGCTCATATACTTAAAAACGTTGATACGATAAGTATTAAATGTGCTAATGTCACGTATCCATAATTAGCAGAAACAACATTTTTTTCTGGCGACTGGGCTGCAGTGGAAAGTATCTGGGACTGTCCCCGTCACAGTAGGCACTTCTTACTTGTCATATATGCCGTCTTCTCTGCTCACTCAGTAGTTTTCCACTCTCCTCCACTTCCACTTTCCCGGAGCTTCACGTTGTTGTGCTGTCGGTTGTGGAGGCCGAGATGTTTCAGACTGAAGGTTTGAGGACCTGTTTTTTGCAGTGGAAAGAGTTTTTGTACGACTACCTGCAGCAACAATGTTGTTATCATCTTTTCACCTGACAGAATCACAGTCATAGGATTATTTCCAGCCACTAAGGTAAGCATTTCCAACTTCCAAACTTTGCTTTGTGATGCGCGTGCGCAGAGCGACGATTACAAAAATGAGTCCGCTGATGTGAATGTTGTATTTCAAGTAAGTAGTGATGTGATAGCATTGTAACAAGTTGTTTGGTTTTGGAGTAACTGTAATATTATTATTGAAATTTTATCAGTAATTAGTTACACTATTCGTTACTGGAAAAATATTATTACTGTAACTCATTACTGACCAACACTGCTGTCCACTGAGCATTAACTGACTGTGTCTGTCTCCTGTTGTGATTGCAGTAATAATTCTGTGGGGCGGAGAGATGGTGGCGCACTCTCGTGCTCAGGAAGACGCCTGGAGGAAGACGCTGGCCTTCCTGAGGGAGAATCTGTTCGGGGACATAAAACCTGCGGTGACCTCATTATCACACCTGTAACACCAAGTCACACTGAACCATCACTACCAGAACATTTATGAAATATACAATGATGGAATGATGTAAGCTGGGTCAGTCAGTTTAATTAAAGTCATGCTGATGGTTTAACATTAACAAGTTACAGATTCTGACCTTCAGAAGGTTTTAATCCATCATAATCACATATACAGTCATTTGTATCCCTGCTCTTCAGTTTGTGATTTCCCTCCTTCGAGCAGACTTTGGTTTTATTTGTCAACATCAAAGTTGTGATCTTGTAATGTCCTGCCGAGAGCAGAGAAAGTTTTAAGACCAGTTTCAACCACGAACAAATAATACAGCCTGTTGAGAATGAAGCTCTTCCATGTATTTCATTAATAAACAATAGATCCTTTAGAATACACCAACAAAAATACTACAAATATATAAAGAATGCTTTAAATGCACAGAACACATGAGAGAATAAACATGGAAATTGTGCTTAGGTAAAGGTTTGTTTTATCAATTTTTAAGCTGGTGGATACAAAGTGAAGCAGTTTGTTTTCTTATGATGGTTCTGATTGTTTTAATGTCATAAATGTAGGAGGGACACCCCTTCTGAACTCTCCCAAAACCTAAAGTAAAGGAACAGGGGTGAGATGGGTCACTCTGAGATCAAATGTTTATTGCTTTGGCCGTTTCACCTCATTCCTAAGGAACTCTTTCACCGTCATCCTGGCGTCAAGGGTGGTAAAGGTGTCAATTGGAAATACTCCAGATTTAAGTTTTGATTAACATCCTGGAAAAATCCAGGGTTGTTGACAACACTGCCAGACCCAGGGTCATTAACTATGCTTTTTTTTTTTTTAATTTTTTTTTTTTAATTTTTGGCATAATGGACATTAACAATATCATTGCACTTGTAAATTGTTATGCATAGGTAAAAGACAACAACAGAAATAATCATAAAACAAAGAAACACAAAGAAAAACACATCAACAGTATACCTTGACTAAGTTACTAACAGGTCAACCAGATAATACAATGAAATCCTCATAATCAAACTATTCGCCGTATAGACGCACCACAAGTCTCTCACTAAAATGTGTCATATCCTCACATCCAACCAGCAGGGAGAAAACAATAAATAATGAATAAAATATACACATATACACATACATACATACATACGTATATATACACACAAGCTGTCACCCTTTTTAAAAAATATATTTGGAAGAAACATTGGCAGGCACTGAAAGAGATACAAAAATCTAGGGAGAGTGTTCATTTTAATAGAGTTTATCCTTGCGGCTAAAGAGAGGTGTAGCAGAGACCAGCGTTCTAAATCTTCCTTAGTGCGGGTTAGAAGTGAACTGAAGTTGGCCTTGAAAAGGTTTTCAAATCTATTAGTGACATGTATACCAAGATAAACAAAACTACCATTTGTGATTTTGAATGAAAGACGATGTAAAGGGAAACTCTTTGCAGCTGCATTGAGCGGCATCAGCTCACTTTTACTGAGATTAAGTTTGTATCCTGACAAGCAACTGAATGACGTAAAAGTAGCAAGGGCAGCTGGAACAGAAACAGCAAGATCAGATATATATAATAATAAATCATCCGCGTATAGAGATAATTTGTGCTCCTGTCCATATCTGACTATGCCTTTGATACGTGGGTTGGAGCGAAGTGCTATCGCAAGGGGTTCTATAGAGAGAGCAAACAACAGAGGACTTATAGGACAACCTTGGCGTGTCGACTGTTGTAAAGAGAAATATCCTGAGTGAGTGTTGTTAGTCCTGACACAGGCTAGAGGGGATGAAGACAGAAGTTTTAGCCAAGCAATGAACTTGGAACCAAAGCCGAATTTATGTAGGGTATAAAAAAGATACTTCCACTCCACGCGGTCAAACGCCTTTTCAGCATCTAAAGATATAATTGCCTCAGAGGTGCCTGTGGCAGAAGGATTATATATAACATTAAACAGTTACCGTAGAAAGAGTGTCTGTTTTTAATAAATCCTGTTTGATCAGGAGACATAATTGATGGAAGAACGGCTTCCAGCCGCATTGCCAAAAGCTTCGCTAAAATTTTGTAATCAACGTTTAATAAGCTAATCGGGCAGTATGATGTACAGTCAAGAGGATCTTTGTTTTTTTAAGAATAAGGGAGATAGTTGCCTGTGTAAGTGTTGGCGGGAGAATTTCATTAGCAAATGCTTCATTGTACATTTCTAATAGAATAGGGGCTAATTTAGGAAAAAGCTTTTCATAAAACTCTACAGGGTAACCGTCAGGCCCTGGGCTCTCACCTGATTGAAGAGATTTGACTGCTATAGATAATTCTTCAACAGTGATCTGCTCCTCCAATTTTTCAACCAAATCACGACTGACCACAGGCACATCAAGGGAGTGGAAGAAATTATCAAGGTCTGATGTATCTGGTTGATACTCGGAAGTATATAAAGACTGATAGAATCTGCTGAACTCATCATTAATCCCCCTAGGGTCCAATGTTATTGCCCCCGCCGATGTACGGATTCTAGAGATCTGATGTGATGATGAAGATTGGCGTAACTTGTGAGCCAACAATCTACCGGCTTTATCTCCTTGTTCATAGTAGGTGCTCCTAGACTTGAAAAGTAGTTCTGTAATCTGATCAGTTACTATCGTGTCGAATTCTGCTTGCAAAGTCAAATGCTCATTATAAATATCTGGAGAAGGTGAAACAGAATAAATGTCATCTAATTGGGCGATAGAGCGTGTTAACACAGTTAGCCTGTCTTTTTTCATTTTATTCATGAGTGCAGTATAGGAAATAATTTCACCCCTGACGTAAGCCTTCAAGGTTTCCCAGAAAGTGGACATAGAGATATCTGGAGTTCTATTTGTGCTTTTAAAAAAGTCTATTTGACCTGCAACAATTTGACAAAGCTTTCCGTACTGAGCAGTTGAATATTTAGTCGCCATGGTGGTCGCAAATAATCAAAATTTTGAAAAGTTACTTTCATTGTAACAGGGGCGTGGTCAGAAATAACAATTGAATTATATGAACATGAAGATATGGAATGAAGAAGTAAGAAAATTAAGACCATTCCCTCCTGCTGGGTGGGCTACATCAGGCTGAGTCATGTCTTAGGAGAGAGAGGATATATAAAGGACATGGCAAAGTAGAAGCAAGAAATCTTAGTTGACCGTAATAATACAAGTTTGAAAGACAAAAACAAGTCACAAGACGCAAAAAACACACAAGAACTATGTACAGAGAAAAACCCCTCCCACAAACCCTCCCTTGCCGAAGCATCTCCCCAACTGAGATGCAAGCTAAACCCTAAATACAAATAATTCTCAGAGCTAAACATAACTCTTACTCTCTGCTACCTGAGGTTGTGACCATAAAGCCAAAATAAACCAAACCTACATAAACTAACCATTAGTAAGGTCTGAAGAGAGCTTTCATCAAATAAGTAGTTTCAAGGTCTGTAAGATACCTTACGTGGTAAAACCAGACCCTATCAGTGCAAACAGCCGACCATTGGCATAAAAGGCAACTTGTGTCAAAATACCATGACAATAATATAAATGAGAAGCAGCTATGCATATTTGAGTATGCATATCAGCAGTACTTTAGACTGTAGTGGAGATTCAAATACTGTACATAGTATTCAAAAATATAAAAAGACCTACATCTCCACTAAAACAATATTTAAGTATCAGTGATTGTGAGAAAAAGGCTATAGTAGAAAAAAATAAAAATAAATAAATAAAATAAAAATTCAAAATAAGCTATATAGGCAGTAAGTTATTGGCATTAAGGGTGCCTCAGATCAAAATAGAAGTTAATCCTGATGATACTAACATTTTAACATGGATGAAATAAGGAGTACACAAATACACTCCCCATCAAGAAATCAGCTGTAGCCTCCCCAATATGAACTGTAAATAGAAGAGGAAGAAAGCCACCAATTATTGCCATTGGAAATTAATTTAGCTGTAAATAGCCAATTATTGGACTTATAGGTGGCTTTGAACAAAATAGATGTAAAAAATGCAGTAGTAACAATAAATAAAAGTAAGAAAAAACTATAAAGTGACTGATTATACACATACATACATAACAGCGTTATATGTATCACGTGGGGAGTTAGCTGTGTATTCACCAACATAAATTGGAAATTAAAGAAAAAGTAAATTATAACAATATTCAGGTACAAGGCTCTCCTGCCAGCCAGATAGCTGGCCTGCTAAGTGGACTGCATGCTATAGCTAACCGACAGTTGTTTTTATGTTTTTGACAAAGTCTGCTGCGGCTGTGGGGTCCTCGAATCTGTGCGTGGAGTTGTCTGGTAGTGTCAGTCTCAAAACCGCGGGGTAGATGAGGCCAAACTTCACGCCTGGGCAGGCACGCAGCTGGTGCTTCACGGGTCCGAAGGTAGCTCGCTTCTTGGCCACGGCAGTGGTATAGTCTGGAAATATCGATATTCTCTTACCCCTGTAGATAAGAGGAGACGCTTCTCCAGATCTTTTCAGGATATCATTGCGGACGTGGAAGAAATGGACCCTGATGACGAATGGCTGCGGGGGCTCCCCATCCCGGGGGCGGCTCTGTAAGGTGCGGTGGGCCCGATCTATCAGCGGCTTTTCTTCCAGGCCAAGCAGCTCCTGGAGCAGCCCGGCCATGAACTCTGTTGGTCGCGGGCCCTCCACACCTTCCAACACAATAACAAGGCGAATATTGTTCCTCCGCATCCTGCTCTCCAAGTCCTCGCATTTTTTGTCAAGCTTTCCCACTCTGGTTGTCAGAAAGTCGACATTAGCTTCCAGCTCCAGTGCTGTGGTCTGAAGAGCTCCGTTCTAGCTCCGATAGGGCTGCCCCCTGCGCATCAAGTTTGTTCTGTACAGTCTCGATAGATTTCTTGAGGTCGTCTCTGACGAGAGATATCTCTGACCTGAGACTGACGGAGAGAGTGTCAATTTTACTGCAAATGTCACCACAAATGTCAGTCTTAAGGGAAGTCATCATGGCGTGAAGCAGCTCCACCGTAAGTGGTCCAGTGGCCACATCGTCCGATGGAGATGAAGTAGGAGAGGGGGCAGGCTTATTGCGGCCTGCTCTTGCAGAGTCCTTATTTGATCTGTTAGACGTCATTATGAGCTTAAGTTTCCCAAATTCAACCTAAACCTTTTATTAACCTCTTCAGACACTTGGTCAGGCAGAAATATGTTATATTCTGCAGGAATAAATATATAAATTTAGTCACTAACTCAGGAGCAGTAGGGAGATGCGTCCTACATCCTCAGCTGCCAACAGCGCCCCCCCTTAACTATGCTTTTAAGTTCACCACATCCTCTCCCCTTTTTGTCACGTCCATGGGAACGGCCCAGCTATACCCCGGATCCCACACGGGTGAAGATAAGAAAAACAGATGTGGGGGTCATGAATTCAGTATGCATTCCTGAGCAGAGACTAATTTCTCTTGGAACCAACTTGAAATGTCTCTCAAAAGTAAAACTATACATTTTATCCATCTTCTAACATTGTAACTGTGCATAATCCTTGTTTGTTAGTTGAATGATTTTTTTTTCTCAATCTTATGTGTTTAATCCCTCATTCAACATGGAGTCATACTGCCATCTTGTGACGATAGTTAAGAAGGGTTCCCATAATTAATATGTGCTTTGTCATTTAGTATGTTGATGCAATTGCAGACTAGTTTGTAGTGTTTGTGCACGAAACATTTATACTTGTGTTCCACTGATATATGCAGTATAATAATCATATTAAATTTAATTTGATGTTGAGAGCCGATTTTGACCATAATGGGAAGAGTATGTGTCTATCGCGTGTAACATGTTAAAGTATTTAATCTCACAAAATAAAGTTTCATTAAAGCTCATTAAGTTTCCTCCGAAATAAAGCAATGTCTAAACTATGGGACCCGCCTTGCCTCGAACATGACACCTCAAGCTGGTTTGATAAAACTCTTGAGCTCGGTGCATCTCAGCCTTTTCTTTTGCTTTTACTTGGCCTACTTTTCTTTCTTTCTTTTCGTCTGTGCCTTCAGTAACATTATAGCCTACCTGAAGTGACAAAGCCAGCTGATTGCAACATTTTTTTTAGACGCGTTAATGATAACTTTGATAATAATATCAAACGGCCAACGTTTTCATCCATATTATAAGCGAGTAGCCACAGCCAAATAGATAAGCTACTGTTCAACCTGCAACTCCCTCAATGATTTATCGGATCCAGCGCTGCCAGACACTTGCCGCAGTGGTTCTTTTGCCAAACCAAGAGACTTTCTGCAGCCTAAAAGAACCGACGTTTGAGGGCCACCTGAAGGACGTCACAGTCAGGCTCAACCGCTCCTCCACCACTGTGTTCTAGCCGATTTCATTCTGCTGGGAAGTCAGGGAGCCGCAAAGTGACAGTCCGGGGTCCTCGGAGAAACGTCTGCCTGATTCAATGCTGCTAAGAAAGTAGGCAAAGAATTTCCCTCACTTGATGCAGCCGCTGTGTTGTGATAAGAGTTGATGTTGAATAGTAGACTTAGTTATTCTGATCTTAATTTAGGTTTCGTTAGGTAAATGGTTTTGCGCATAGTCACATACACACATCTCACTATTGCCAAACTGAATAACTGACAAAAGTGTTACCTCTTGTCTTAATCCATTTATACATACTGTTGATTTTGTGTTATTTCATATCATCCTCATTTACTATTCATTTACTCAGTTGTTAAATAGTTAACCTAAATAAATCTTCATTTATCGCCAAGTCGTCGTCTGTGTTTATCTCTTTTGAGTAGGAACTAAGATGACTGTATAGAGAATTCATAACCCAGATATTGAGATTGATTCATTATTGATAAGTGTACTGACAAATAAATAATTGGTTTCCCGAGTTATGAATTTGGTTAGTCCAATTGTCTTCATCAAACCAGAACCAAGTGGTTTTTATGCCTAAACGTAATCATACACTATCCACAAGACATTAAGTTTCAACATACCCACTAAATAATAATGTTCAAACATATTGGTGGTTTGCATAAACGTACAATGCCAACACTTCTTCTGACGATTGGATTGTGGAGACATCACATTAAGTAGCATTCATCCCTTCAGGAGAAGGAGGAGACACTGAGGGCTCTAGTTTCCCAAACATTTTCAAATGTTTCAAACATTTGCTATGGAATACACGTGGAGCTGATAGTGAGGACCCCCCCAGAAATTTGTCCCCACAATGTAAACCAGTAAAAGGGTTTCGTCTAGGTTTTAGGTGAAGCATGGAGTGTTTATAGCTGAGGTTAGGTACCTTTTCACATAAGAGTACATCACAAATAAACAGTACACTCACAAAATGATTACATCTTAGATCTACATCAGCATTCTCAGTTTGTCCGTCTGTCCTTTTGTTGTGACAGCGATATCTCAAGAACACCTCAAGAGAGTTTCTTCCAGTTTGACACAAACCTCCACTTGGACTTAACGATGAACTGATTTGATTTTGGTGGTCAAATGTCAAGGTCACTGTGACCTTGTCTGTTTCATTCCTGTGAACGTGATATCTTAAGAACACCTTGAGGGAATTTCTTCATATTTGACATAATTGTCCACTTGGACTTAACAATGAATTGATTAGATTTTAAAGGTTGAAGGTCAAGGTCACTGTGGCCTTGCATCCCTCTGATTGTCGTGAATGCGATCTCGTCAGATCATGTGTGTTAGTGGAGGACTCAAACACGGAACCAAGAAACACAAACAGGTAAAAGAAAACTGAAATATTTCGCCACAAATTTTTGATTTAACATTTGTTTGTGTCACGTTAAACACAAGAGACGCAACATGTTAATTCATAATAACACTTTAAACAGAAATGGTGAAAATACCAAACATCTTAAAGGTCCAGTGTGTAAGATTTAAGGGGGGTTTAGTAGCATCTAGCAGTGAGGACAGCAGACATTCCTTCAATGTTCATTAGTCAGGAGGTTTTTACTGGCCCCAAATTATCCACAGAGGTCTTTTCCTCTCCAAAACAAACAAACCAGCTGATTTAAATCTGTAAAAACACTGAATAAAACAGTTTCACTATAAAAATCTGTTTCTTCGATGCTGTTTGGAGTGTTGGAGATGGGTCACTATCAATCAGTCAATTCAATTAATCAATTTTATTTATAAAGCCCAATATTACAAATCACAATTTGCCTCACAGGGCTTTACAGCATACAACATCCCTCTGTCCTTTGGACCCTTGCAGCTGATCAGGAAAAACTCCCCAAAAAAACCCTTTAACGGGGGGAAAAAACAGTAGAAATCTCAGGAAGAGCAACTGAGGAGGGATCCCTCTTCCAGGACGGAAGAGGGATCCCTTTGCATGTCTCCGTGCTGGTGATAGCTGTGGCCGGAGGCATTTTATTTTCAGGCTGTCCGCCCATCTGTCTGTCCCATTCTTGTGAACATGACCTTGAGGGACTATCTTCAAATTTGACACAAGCCTCCACTTGGACTGAAGAATAAACTGATTAGAATTTGGTGGTGGACCTTGGGATGTCACAAAACATTTTTTGGCCATAACTCAAGAATTCATTCACTAACAATTAGGACAAAATTTCACACAAAGCATTAAAATATGAAGTGATGACATTTTAGATCCAAGAGGTCAAAGGTTAATTTTACTATGACATCATAATGTCCTGCAAATATTTTATTTTATTTTTTACTAATATACCCTTTTCCCATGAAAATTAGCATGCCTAAACATGCTAAAAACAGACGATAGGCTCCCATTGCTAGAAGACTAGAGCTGTGTACATGTGCAGCAGACGACTCATGAGTATTCCTTTGTGGTCATTTATTTTATGCCTCCGTGCTGGCGATAGCTGTGGCCGCAGACGCTATTTTTTTGGGTTGTGGGTACATCCCTATTTCTGCACGTCTGTCCCATTCTCGTTAAAATGTTATCTCAAGAACGCAGAATTAAATTTGACCAAAATGTTCACTTGGACTCAGCGATGAACTGATTCTATTTTGATGGGCAAAAGTCAAAGTTACTGTAACCTTGCATCTGTCTCATTCTCATCAGTGTGATATCTAAAGAACATCTTGAGGAAGTTTCCTCAAGTTTCACACAGACGTCCGCTTGGTACGGTGGCCGAGAGGGGTCACAGCACATGCAAACTCCACAACACCTGCAAATCCACACAACACACGCACATTAAGAAAACACCCCCAAAATTCATACCGACCGTAATCAGTGACAAACTTACTGGTTGTTGACATTCCCAGACTTCCCTCAAGACGCTGGTCGGAAGTTTAACATGTGTATTAGGTGGTAGACAAGTAAGTGCAAATAACTTGATCCTCTATAACTAACCTGTTGGGGCGCATCAATGTGTCATCGATTCTTGTCCGAGCATCTAAATTGTTTTTGGTGGTCAAAAGCAGGTCTGTGAGTGATTAAAGTCCCCCTGGAAACATTTTCGTCGTCATCTTCAATTTGGCGTGTGTTTTCGTTTTTGCCAAGCGTGCAGCTTCTTGCTTGTGTTGTGAGCATTTGCAGCGCATGTGTTTGCGAAATCGATGAATGTGTTTTCTGAATTTGGGGGTGTTTTCTTAATGTACGTGTGTTGTGTGGATTTGAGGGTGTTGTGACCTCTCTTGGCCACCGTAACTTGGACTCAAGAATGAACTGATTAGAATTTGGTGGTCAGAGTTACAGCCATTAAAAGTGAGTTTAGGGACATTGACGCCATTGATTCAGCCATTGTCTTTCATTTCATTCCTTAACGTCCATCTTCACAGTAATGAAGAATTCCTGTGTTTCAGCAGCTGCTTCTATTCATGAGGACGTGTTTTTCATACGGTATAAAGGAGTTTTAATGCCTCCGAACCAGCGTTAGCTGTGGCCGAAGGCACTGGGTCTCATTCATGAAAAGTGAGTAACTCTGTGTAGATTTGAACATAAAAGCCTACGCTACTAAAAACCTACTCCGGATTCAGGAACACCGCGGGAAACTCAGATTTGATCGTAAACACGTGTGTATGATCATGAATGCCAATCCATCGTGAAGTGACAGCGCGCTCCCGGTAATCAGCAATTAGCATAAATCCCCGCCCATGAATAGCCAATGACCACCATATGAGGAGGTGTAGGTGCATCCTGTCGACCTGTCAGTCATGGCGCAAACAAAGAGAAAGAAAAAAGAATTTTTCCGAAGTGGAGATCAAAATAATTTTGGGTGAAGTGGACTGAAGAAAAAACATTTTATTTTCTTCAGTTAGTAGTGGTGTGACAGGGACAGGCCAAGCGAAGGCCTGGAGGGAGGCAACAGATGCTGTTAATGTTGTCTCCGTGGTACAAAGAACCATGTCAGAGGTGAAGCGTAAATGGTTTGATATGAAACTGGAGGCAAAGAAACACATAAGCACACACACAAAAAATACAGTGGTCACCAAACAAACAGAAGATTCATTTGTGGGGTTTTGAATGAAGTGAGAACGGGAAACCAGAGATGTTTTGTGCATAATGGATAAACTCTAAATCAGTGATGGCTGTCGGAATGTAGAGCCATTTAACATTTATTTTAACAAATGATACGGATAACATATAGCCTACAGCAGTTTGTATGCATCGTCTTCAAATTATTTGAATCTTAATAGCCTAAAGCTCTGTTTTATACAACGTAAATTAAACATTTTTCAAATCAGATTTATTCATTCAAATGATCAAAAAGCCAAAAAAAAAAAACAAACAAAAAAACGTGTTGTCTCAAATAATTCTTTCAGCTGGCGCGTGCTCCTTCATGGCTCCACCACCTGCTGCTCCTGCTGAACCCAGGCACCGAGGCCGGCTGTCCCTACGGATATTTTTATTATCATCATTCAACATGTAGAAAGAACGTGTAATCTGTTGAGTCAGTTTGCATAGATAATTCACAATCATGAACCTAATCTGGATCTTAAACCTGCTAATTGCCAACTGATTTAACTGAATGTGTTATATTTTTAATATTTTGTCACGTTTAGATTACGTGTTTCAAAGGCATCTGTGTATTGTGTACATAACAGAGCGCAATATGAATTAAAATTGTAATTTCCAATAGTGACAAGCAATATTTATGTGCTTTACTAAATTTACACAAGCACTACGAGTGGTCGGGAGCAGGAGTAGATTTTGTTAGTAGCTACGAAAAGATCAGCGCTACTAAAATATTGATGAATGCGGACATGCACGTAAATTTCCGTCTGCGAACAGTTTAGACACAAATTCCTTCTGCTCACGTTTCATGAATGTGTTTTCAGGTTGTCCGTCTGTTCTTATGTCTGTCCATCTGTCCGTCTCACATGATTTCAAGCGCCTTGAGGGAATTTCTTCAAATTTGACACAAACATCCACTAAAGTGATCACATTTATATCCAAAAGGTCAAAGGTCAACTTCACTGTGACCTCATAATGTTTCTAAAAACACCTTTCTGTCCAATACTCAACGTCATATCTCAGGAACAGAATTTCATCAGACATTTGGTCAGATACTGAATTTGTGACCCACCTTCAAACCTTGCTGATTGTATAGATCTTCTGTGTGTGAAGCATCCATGTTTTCAGAGACACTGGGCTGGTTGACGGAGGCATATAACCGTGAGGTGGTAATTCTAGTTTTATTTTATCAGCGCTCTGAGATTCATATCAGGAGATCACTGTCGCTAAGCGTAGGTTGGCCCTCTGTCAGTCAGAAGATACCTGTGCTCTTTATCATTCAAGGAAAACATCCTGTATATCTAACATCTCCTCTACACTTTAGATAAACTCACTGCCTCTGTACATCTGAGGAGTCTCAGCCTGAAGGTTCCCAAAAATTCAGAACAGCCCAAAGTAAGAACATTCAGACTTTAAAGATGGAATAATCAGCAGCACCTGATTTCTTAGACAGATTTTCCTGCACTGACTGTTCCTGTCTCTGTTAGATCATCTGACTGAAGTGGAGCTCTTTCAGGTAAACACGACTTGAGTGAACAGTACTGAATATGTTAAAATCGTGAACACACTAGTTTCAAAGATATATATGTATAGTTTCACATGATATATATGATGGGCGAAGGATTGTTACTTCTGTCTTTGCGTTTGGCTGCAGAGAATCACAAGTCATCCATTGCTTCACAGCAGTGAAGCTCTCCGTTCAGGTAAGGACAGGTGGCTCTACCTGTCCTCAAATCCAGATCATGTTAACTGAGCACTTTGACGGTGTTTGGGTGTAGCTCCGCTGTTTGTCCGCTGGGGGGCGTCCTGTCTCCATCTCTGCTGCTCCCCCTCAGCAGCTCCTCTCTCTGACAGCCTGGTGATGAAGCTCATTAACTTCATCTGTTTACTGCACGAGCCACACACACACACAGACACACACACACACACACACACACACTGCTCCTTCCTCTCCTGTTTTGTTCGCACCTTCCTCTCCACCAGACCAGGACCGGGGTCATGCTGCTTAGACCTGAGACCCGCTCCATGACCACCGGGGAACTTGATGAGACCCTCAGACTCCCATCAGCCTGGACTCTGCTGGTGTGATGAGCCTGAGAGCCTCCCGTGTTTCCTGTGACGCAGGACAGCCGCGCCGCGCCGCACCGCGCCGCGCACTTCGGAGAGCTCCGAGAAGGGGAGGAGGGAAAAAAAGCGCGTCCGTCACTTCGGTCTTCTGTGACCACTCGACCCAGACGTGAAGATGTATTTTACTGTGGTGAGCACCTCGACACACTGATCTGAGAGCTGTGTGTGGGAGGAGAGGAACCCGGGCTCCGGAGCGTCATCCTCAGGCTGAGCGGCGAGAGGGAGTCGAACCGACACCTGCAGGTGATCCGGAGCGGCACAAAGCTGCTGTTTGGAGGAATTTACCGCTTCTCATCCAGGATCAGGAACAGATCGGGAACAGATCGGGAACAGATCTGCCCCGGAACTGCGGGAACAGATAAAAGTGGATTTAATTGATTTTTTCTCCTGCTGGTTGGTGGATGCTGATGAGGAGCCGGATCGAGTCCTCGCGGAGGAATTTAGAGCAAAATGTTTGTGTGATGTGACAAACAGCTGGAGACAGAAAACATCTGTCTGACCTGTGACACCGAGAGGAAACACCTGCTCCTGCTGCGGAGAGGAAAGGTACCTGAACGCATCACAACAGAATCAATCAGTGTTCAATTAAAGATGAATCCATCTTAATAATATTACTGTTGTTATCATTATTATTATTATTATTATCATGCTAGAGATACGAGTTCTCTCTGTGACATCCCACAGATTATTGTCTGGTAAATCCACCAGTAAAATCAATCAATCAATCAATTAGTTAATCGATCAGTGGTCAATAATGAGGCACCGGGACCGCTGGATGATCTCAGACTGGTTTCTGATCAGAATCAGGATTCTCTGATATCAGCTGATTCTGCTGGAATGCAACTTGAGCTCGTGCTGATGCGCTCGTGCGCGCGCGTGCGCGTGTGTTAAACTTAACTAACGTGTGTGTGTGTCTGCGTGCGCACTTAGGACGGTTAATGTGTTCGAGATGGAAGTGTCGCCGACGTGTTTTCTGCGCGCGGGTTTTGGTGATGCCTCTACGGTTTCGGGTGCGCTTGTGTGACTGTGGTGTGCGCGCGCGAGGCATAGATTACAGCTGTGTGTGCCCGAGGATTTGTGTGTGTGTATGTGTGTGTGTGTTTTAAATACATATTTAAGAGGGAGAGATGTGGAGAGAGTCTAACATGAGGATCAAACAGAAAGAAACTCACCATCTGTTTAAACTTGGCCATAAGTATGTGGACAACAGCCATATGTAAGAGTTGATGGTGTTGCCTTCCAAACACAGATTTGTTGATGTTTTCTTCAGCTCCAGTTTGTTGTTGATATTAACAATTAATTTAAGAAAGGTATTATTGATTTAAGAACACAGAACTGCAACAGAATCCTCAATCCTAAATGATTGAGTTGTTTTTTTCCACCTGGACCTTTATGCTCTGCCATTTCTCCTCTAATCATCAGGCTGTAACCTGTGACAGGCTGTTATGATACCACAACTATCACACAGTCACACATATGGAGTTTATTCACGTAGGTTTACATCACCAAAGGTTTATGACAGAATCAGAGAGGAGAGGGAGAGACGCTGTGCTGCTGCCAGAGGAGCCGCTGAATGAGTTCCCTCTGAGCGCTTAGAGAAGTAAAACATTCAGGACGCCACAGTTTATTCCACACTACTGAAGCTGCTCCTCTTTTTGGATCCACCAAGGAGTTGCTAATAATTTCATTTTCAGCCATACTTGCTGTTGCCGTGGGTAACAATATTACGTCAATATGTCAACAAGTAGAAATATTGCACAGTATGAATTTTTCATATCATTTAAGAATTATACTGGTATTATCATGAACAGATGAGGTGCACCAGTGTTAATTAATTCAGCCATAATCATGAAGCATTCCTGAGGTACCGTAGTTATTGACGAGGCAGGAGGAGGTGGTGCAAAGTAGGGGAAGGAATGTCAAAAAAAAGAAAAAAGAAATGTAATCACTGGGGAGGGACTTGTGTTTTTATTTTGGCTAAGGTGAGGGACATACAACTTTAAATGGTTGGATTTAGTATTTATTTTAAACACCCTCTGAACCCCAGATCCCACAGGCGTGATTGACAGGAGTGATTTCTTTAAAAATTGCTAAAACTACATCATTTATTACAGCCAGAAAGTGGAAAACACAAAACAAAACAGAAATGTTTGTCAGATTTTCAAATTATCCACGGTCCAAACGCTTCATTGGCAACAAAGGCTTCCATCTTACCACTTTATTTATGTGTGTCATTTGAAATTTCACCAGAAATAAACTGTTTGCAAACCTAATCCTGTAGGAAGCATCACATTCTGTGCTCCTGCATGCACAACAGTTGTGATAAACAGGCTTTTTTCAACTCTGAATTTAGTTTTTAACTTTCACACATGCTGACAAATGGTCAGGACATCAGATCAGAAAATGCCTCTATGTGTCGTTCTAGATGGCATGGACAAATACATATTTTGTTGTTTAATTTGGAGGCAATTGTCATTGCACATGGTGATCTGATGCCCTGTACTTGTCACATCATCTAAACTACTAATGGGTGGACCTTAGCTCCTTAGCTTGTTTAATTCCTGTAAAGCACAGTTTCAATATACTGAGTCGAACCTTGCATCTAATTAAGAATCCCACATGATGGTGGACGTCCGATGTTAAAACTTGTCTGGTGTTTCTCAGCTTAAATAATTTTCGTAAGGGATATGCACGTTAGTGGGTTAACAAGATGGTGCTGTCAGCCCTAGAGTGGTCTCCTCTGGTCTGAATCAGGGACTCATGTTGTTCCAAAGTTGTATAATTGCCTAGAGTTGGTTCGTGTTCTCACGGCAGCATTTACAAGAGGACCAGATCAAATGCCTTGTGTGAGAAAGCTGCTCTTGATTGGTCAGAATTCCCATGTGGGAAAAATCCAGGAAGTAAAGCAAACGTTGAAGAAGAGTACACTTGCAAGATAAATGTGACACTTTCTAATGTCACAATGGAGGGACAACTACGCAGGTTGATTTTAGTGCTGCTCATCGTGGACTATATTGCTGTCATTGTTCATTTTAGTCAAACCATACAGTTTGTAAACGAGGCGCGGCTCCAACTAGAAAACAATGTTTTGATGCATTGGATGTGCTGAATGTGCATATTAAGGCAGTACAGGAGGAGGTGCACATTAATAATCCTCCAGGACTGTAACATGCTCATGTTTAACCCAAACAATGTGTCATGTGACTGCAGTTGCTTCACATCCAGGTCGGAACACCTTCTCACCACAAACCAACCGCACCAGAGTTCCTTTGGAACCAGACTGAGACCACCTCTTCAAGAAGGTCTCGGTCTGGTTGTTTCGATGTGCACCTGAGTGTGATTGCTGTGTTCACACCTGCCCAAACGAACCGCACTGAGGGGGCAAATGAACTTAAGTTCGAGTGAACTGAACCAAACAGGGCACGGCTCTATAAAACCGTACTTAGCTACAGTGATGCTCTGAGCTAAAGGCTGATATCAGCATGCTAACATGCTCACAATGACAACGCTGATATTTAGCAGGTGTTGTGTTTACCATGTTCACCATCATCTTGGTTTAGCATGTAAGGATTCTAATGTACAGTAATTAGCAATGAACACAAAGTAGCCTACAGCTGAGGCTGATGTGAATGTCAGTTTTGCATCAGTTGGAAAACCACATGAAACCGCTTTATGTCAGAAAGTCACCAAAGTCAGTAGGATTCATCCTCAGGGGAACAGGAACGTCTGTACATAAGTCACTGCCAATCCATGAAGTTGATGTTGAGATATTTCCTATAAAAAGGGAGAACTCTGACCTGCTGGTGAGGAGAGGTCAGGAAATCACTGAAGTCACGAGAATTCATCCTCTGGGGAACATGGACGTCTGCACAAAATATCATAGCAAGGTATTGAATAGTTGAGATGTTGTAGTCTGGGCCAAAGTGGTGGACCGAGTTAGCTATCTTGGCTAAAAACATGGAGATGTGCACTTAATACAAACTGTATCATAAGTATGGGAACAATCTCCACCTTACACCATCTAGTAAGGTAATAAAAGTAATATTTTAATACATTTATTTTCTGGACTTTGTTGCAAATGTATCAACCTAAAACAAATAAAAACTAAAACACAAAGTATTTAAACCCATCTCCTCACTATGATCAACTTTCAGAGTCCAGAACAAATACATTTCAGGAGGTCTCCAGGTGGTGGACCCCCCCTCCTGATCATAGACAGTTGGTTTGTTCCACTTCCTGCTTGTAGAGTTTAGGAAGCCATTTTAACAGATCGTGTGTTAGTGGAGGACTCAAACATGGAGCCAAGAAACACACACAGGTAAAAGAAAACTGAAAAGTTTCACCACAAACTTTGATTTAACATTTGTTTGTGTCAGATTTAACAAAAGAGAAAAAAACATGTGACTGAGTGAGAAAACTTTCAGTAAAGATGGTAGAAATACCAAACACCTTAAAGGTCCAGTGTGTAAGATTTACTAGCATCTAGCAGTGAGGACAGCAGATTACAACCAGCTGAAACTTCTCCCGGTTAGAATTCCTTCAGTGTTCATTGTTCAGGAGGGTTTTACCAGGAGCCAAATTATCCACAGACATCTCTTCCTCTCCAAAACAAACAGACCAGCTGATTTAAACCTGTAAAAACACTGAATAAAGCAGTTGCACTTAAAAATTGAGTGTTTCATTATATTTTCAGGTTGTCCGTCCCAATCTTGTAAACACGATATCTCAAGAACACCTTGAGGGAATATCTTCAAATCTGACACAATCCTCCAGGTGGACTGAAGAATAAACTGATTATAATTGGGTGGTCAAAGGTCACTGTGACCTCACAAAATATGCTTTTGGCCTCAAGAATCGTTATGCTAATTATGACAAAATGTCACACAAATGTCAAACAGGATAAAATAATGAAGTGATGACATTTTATATCCAAAAGGTCAAAGGTCAGCTTGACTGTGACATCATCATGTTTTAACGTCATATCTCAGGAACAGAAGGGGAGACATTTGGTCAGATACTGAATTGGTGACTCTAATCTTGAAACTGTGCTGATTGTATAGATCTTCTGTGTGTGAAGCATCCATGTTTTCACTGACATGGATGGAGACTGTCAGAGACACTGGGCTGGTGGGCGGAGTCATACAACCACAAGGCGGTTATTCTAGTTTCTCTGATTACTGAGGATCCAGACGCGGTCTCTTCCTCTCCAAAATAAACAGAAACATGGCATTGCAACATGGCGATCTCCATAGACGAGGACCAGCTCCCTTTGTAGATATATACAGCTCATTCTAAGCTGACAAAAACACAGAGATTCTTATTTTCAGATGATTCTACACTGAAGAAAACATACTGATGATATGATATTCCATTTCTGCCAATGTGTCCCCCTAAATCCTTCACACTGGAACTTTAAAGTTTGTAAGAGAGAATCAAGTCAACATATGATGCAGTGTATAAAGAGGTTGTTCTGGTATTACAGTTGGATGTTGGCATGTAGAGCAGAGGACTGAGTCAGCACCCTGCAGTGCACCTGTGCTCAGAATCTCTGGTTTATTGATCGTGTATTGATCGTTTCCTCCTCTGTCTGAATCTTTAACAGGTTTCAGGAAGAATGTGAAACTGGAGCTGCTGAGACCCTGAAGCTCCGTCTCCTCCTCTGCAGACAGCGATGTCCGACACAGGAAGCAGTACTGCAGGAACACCTTGGGGTCAGCATTCGTAGGTGGGACTGCCCGCCGTGGTTGGCCCTGCCCTGGGTGACGGGGGACTCCATGGTCTGGCTCAACCCATCCTCGCCACACCCGCCTGCACCGCCACTGCAGCCACCTGCCTGTTGATTGTGCGACCGTATCACCTCTCACTTCCCCTGCAGCTCCACTCACCTCAACATGGCGAGGGGTCAGAAGCCCCCGGGCGTCACCGGCCACTGCGTCCTCTCTCTGCTGATGCTTGAGAGCTGCTGGCTGCTTGGCTCCGCTGCCCAAAAGCCCGCCATGCTGTCGGACTCCCAGCAGCCCCAGCAGGAGTATGCCCACTCCATCCGGCTGGATGGTGACATCATCCTGGGCGGCTTGTTCCCAGTGCACTCTCGTGGTGAGAGGGGTGTCCCCTGTGGTGAACTGAAGAAGGAGAAGGGCATTCACCGGCTGGAGGCCATGTTGTTCGCCATCGACCTCATCAACAAGGACCCGGAGCTGCTGCCTAACGTGACGCTTGGGGCGCGCATCTTGGACACGTGCTCACGTGACACCTACGCCCTGGAGCAGTCGCTCACATTCGTCCAGGCACTCATCGAGAGGGACGGCTCAGACGTCCGCTGTGCTAACGGAGATCCGCCCATCTTTGCCAAGCCGGATAAAGTGGTGGGCGTCATCGGGGCGTCGGCCAGCTCGGTGTCGATCATGGTGGCCAACATCCTGCGACTTTTCAAGGTAAGAGAACGCTGTCAGGGGAAGTTTGAATCGGTGTGGTTGCTGCCGTACTGTGACCTGTTGTGACTTAACTTTGGTCAACACGACGATCAGCTGTTTCAGCTGACTGACCTGTAAAAACACTTTGTGTCTCTGACTTTCCTACCTTTGTTGGACCAGCTGACTCCAAGGGTTTCACATCTCTTAGCAGCTGTAAAATGTTCAAACAAAACAGTAAGTTGCACCTGAGAATTGATCAGAACAGTCAAGCCAGTCTGAAGACAAACGAGACAAACCTTCTGCAAAATTTACCACAAGAAGTTTGTTTTTTAAAGTTTAAGGTCAGAGAGAACTTCAGATAACAATCATTGTAAAATATCCTGAAGCTTCTCGAGTTAAACAGAGAAGAGGTGAAGAGGTTTTCTTTTGAGGCGACGCTCTGACAACATGAGTGGATGTTAATCATCTGTGACCTTTTGTCTTTTACCTTGTAACTCAGAAAATGTTGTGTTTGAGTCACAAAGACTTTATTTAAAAAAAAATCAAAGTTCTCAGCACCTTAAAATGAAATGTTTTCTTACCTTAACTTGTTGAGTGTTACAACTCTCTTTGCCCAGAAATGTATTTTTCTTATTGTGACTTCACTTTAATGTTTGAGCTGCGCTGTGCAAAGTTTGTTTTCAAATTCTTCTGCTGAAGAGGGAAAGTTTCTCTGTACTCACCTTAGTGTTGTTTAACAGGATTTTATGTTTGGGAGCCAATCAGGGTCCAGTATTCAACTTAAACAAGTTTGATGTGGTTCCAGTGCACTGAGAATGGATTTTTCAATGATGTAAGAGACATCTTGGGTCCAGCAATTAAGCTTTATTTATAGGTTCAGTATTTTCACTGATGGAAAATGAACAGATTTAATTTTAAGAATAAACTATGTCTGGTCATTTTTGACCCCAAAAAAAAGAGAAAAATCTGCCTGGAGCCGCAAAACATGTTTGAGCCTTGATTAAATGTTAAAACATTTTTTAAAATTCGGTTTTAAAGGCTACAAATTTTTACAATTGAAGAATGTAAGAATCTCTCTAGACTTACAACAATGGTCAATGACTGAAATGTTAAAAAAAAAAACTGTTATTCATTTTCATATCATTTTTGGTTAAAGCCACAGGGAGCCAGGGAGAGGGGCTAAAGAGCCTCAGGTTGCCTCCCCCTGATTTGGACGTTCCTGTCTCATTGTTAAAGGCAGGTTTGTTTTAATGAGCTTAGGGCTGCTTTCACACCTGCCCTGTTTGGTTCGGTTCAATCAAACTCAAGAGACCTTCTTGAAGAGGTGGTCTCAGTCCGGTTCCAAAGGAACTCTGGTGCGGTTGGTTTGTGGTGAGAAGGTGTTCCGACCTGGATGTGTAGCAACTGCAGTCACATGACACATTGTTTGGGTTAAACATGAGCATGTTACAGTCCTGGAGGATTATTAATGTGCACCTCCTCCTGTACTGCCTTAATATGCACATTCAGCACATCCAATGCATCAAAACATTGTTTTCTAGTTGGAGCCGCGCCTCGTTTTCAAACTGTATGGTTTGACTAAAATGAACAATGACAGCAATATAGTCCACGATGA